CTCACACACACACACACACACAGTCTCTCTCTCTCTCACACACACACGCACACAGTCTCTCTCTCACACCCACTCTCACACTCAGCACACACAGGCACATGCCCTGGACCTCTAGATACAGTATCTAGTTTAGAGATGAGCAGGCACCCATTTGTTCTGATTTCAAACCAAACCATTTCTGTCCTTACAAATTTACTGGAAAAAAATTTTAGGATTTCAAATTGAAGTTAAAAGGGTCAGTAGGTAGAAGAATATCTTTTTTTTAAATAAAAGAGCGCTGGATTTGTAGACAACACGCTGTGTTAAGGAAGCTCAGCACATTTCCCTCCTGGCTGCTTACTAAAGATGCTTCAAAGATGAGAGAAGAACAAAAAACAAAGATAAAAGCACATTATTCTGTTTTGAATGTGAACCAAATTCATTTAGATTTTGAATAAAAGCAAAAAAATACTACATAAATTGAAAAAAATGCTGCATTCGTTTTCGTATTTATAAAAATGGGTCTATATTTTTAATCTCTAGACAAAAAGAAATAAAATGCTTTGGAACAGCTGTTATTTAGAAGCCTGAAGCTTAGCTCTAATCCTAACAGAGGAAGAAGTAATTCGGGACAGCTTGACTATCTGGTCTGAGCATCTTATGTTTAGCAATTTTCTCCGGAAGCTGGAAGCAATGTGTGTGGGTGGGGGAGGGGTGGGATGAGTCAGACTAGGTAAGGGCGCTGCCATCCAGCCTGAGGACCCAAGTCCAATCCCTGGGATGCATCCAGCTGAGCAGATCTGACTCCCACAAGATGTCCTCTGACCTCTGTGCATGTTATAGCACACACACACACACACACACACACACACACACACACACACACTAGACAAATGTAAAAGAAGGTGAAAGGTTATGTGCACATTACAGAGGTTAAAAATATGGCCTGCTGTTCAAATGCAAGCTCTCTCTGTAACAGACACGTTATATAATTTGCGATGTGGGTCTGACGGCTGCCTCTTTCAGCTTCGGGTCCTGCAGGAGCTAGAGTGGGGGCCCCTGGACACTCACCCTGTATTTGTTGTCGCCGATCTGCTCAACCTGGAACCGCTTCGCACATTTACATTTAGCTACTTGCCTCGTGACCTGCCAAAAACGAAGGCGAAATATTCACTTTAACCTTAACATGTTAGAGTGGGACCCTAAGAACTGATGAGCCCTGCGGAACACACAAACACGGCGATGACAGGGGGCGGACAACGCATACCTCATCTTCAATTTTGTCGGCATCTGTGATGGGCTTGTAGGCATCTTTGTTTGGATGTAGAGCTGCCACAAATTCATAGTAGTCGATGTATCCGTCGCCATCTCGGTCAAAGATATCTGCTACAGCGCTCATCTCCAGGCGACTCGTAGGGAACTCTGAAATGCGCCCAACAATGCTGGTTAGGTAGTTCGTTAACTACACCTCACGACATAGTTGACTGCCTATTTTTATTCTTAATGTGACTGGTCAGGGCGATTGAACAACTCAAAAAAAAGCCACCCTATTTGCAGTATAATAAATCAATAATATACAATACAAATTTATCTTCAAGAAGGATGAGGGGCTGGAGGGATACACAGTGGTTAACAGCCCTTGATGCTTTGGTAGGGTTGCCAGACAAACTAGCTTAGGGCACTCATGTTCAACTAATGTTATTGGAATTATGAGCTAAATTATAAAGAATTCAGTATTTATTGGTTTGCTTATGTATGCTAAGTAACATACACAAGAAACTTTTAGAATCAAATACTGCTAATTTATTTATACTAATAACACAGCTTGAGGAGAGTGGCCATACAAAGCAGCAGAGTGACTGACTCAAGTGACAAAAATATTACACATTTTTCCAAGCTGGTGATTTCCTAGCCAATTTAAAAGGCAACACAAGTTTATTGGCCCCATAACCTTAAACTGCGCTTACTTCCTGCACAAAGTCTTCTAGCGACAGTCACCTGCCTTGGGACTTACTTGAGGAAAGAATTCCATCAATAAATTCCTGCCGAGTGATCTTTCCGTCCTGGTCCTTGTCGATTCTCCTGAAGAAGTCCATCACTCGCGATTTCTTATGATTCATCCACCGCATGTATTTTTTACGCCAGATATCAAAATCGAAGTTAGCAAACTCCCTCAGCTAAAAAGGGCAAGCGTTTGACTGAGTTAGTGCTTGCTCAAACTATCTTAAAATTTCTGTGCTTATTCTTGATAATTTTATACATGCACACAATGAAATACCAGAGTATCCACTTCACGTTGTCCCCTTCAACTCTCATAAACTCCCCACGCCCCTCCCAATATCATTTTTTCCTTTTTTTATAATAACCCATTCAATGCTGACTATGTGTGCACAGGTCCGAGCACCAAATTTTCTTCCCTGGTAGCTGACTAAAGCCACTGATGATGATCTCCAGGTGACACATATTTCTCCCACTTGGAAGAAAGTCATGATCTTACAAATGGCTTTTTACTATGTTCATTTTACTATGTCACTGATTTTTTTTTTTTTGCAAGTAAAATCTCTACATTGAAAACTGCTCATGCCACTAGTCACAAGTGTGTTGCCAGAGTGCCCGTGAAGGTGTAGACCTTGGCATGTACCCAACCCACACTCCTGTCCCTTCACAACAGAAAAAATAAAAACCTCCCACCACGGGGTATGTATTACTATGTTAGAAAGCCCTTCTTACAGATCAGCATCCAGTTGTTACAACTTAAGTCTTCTAGTTTTTGGTTCCCTGGATCTAATTCCCACAGATAAGTTTCTTTCTTTCTTTCTTTCTTTTTTTCAAGACAGGGTTTCTGTGTGTAACAGCCCTGGCTATCCTGGAACTCACTTTGTAGACCAGGCTGGCCTTGAACTCACAGAGTTGCGCCTGCCTTTCTCTCTCAAGTGCTGGGATTAAAGGTGTGTGCCACCACTGCCCAGCCATAGAAACATACACAATCTTAGTGTTTGTTTCAGAACAAGAGCACTTAGATCCTAAGATTTTGTTTATGTGAGAGAAACCCGTGCTTTTGTGCAGCCCATCATGGAAAAGGAAGACGCAGAGACCCCATGGAGATGAACTCATGAGTTTCCAGACCTCCTCCAGCCTGTCCAAGGCGTCGTTGAGCTTCCTCCTCCTCTCCAGAGCCAGGAGCCAGACCTGCTGCCATTTGCTCACCAGCAGGTTAACCCTGGGATTCTTAGTTTCGATTTGTGTCTGTGGTCCAGATGGATACAAGCCTGATGCTGGGAAGCGTTTCCCTGTTAAAATACAACTCCAGTCAGGATGCCACAGTGCTTTGGGCTCCCAGCCAAGCCTGACTCTAACTGCAGAGAAAACCATCCCAACCTAGTTATTCTTACATATTAAGGTCCACGTTCTGATCTTATGCATTGTAGAAATGTGTCTTGATAGGGCCACTCAAATACTGAGAACTCTATAAATCTAATGTTTCAAACATTTTCCTACTTAAATTCATGTCATTTCAGCGATGGGGTGGCACACTGAGACACATGCTAGAGTAGGTTAGAGAGAAGGCACCTGCCTTCTTAGAGACCAAGGCAGAGAAATGGCTGTCCCTGGAATCAGCCGAATGTTTCACAGATGACAATCCTTGGGTCCCACCCTTCTCCCAAATCCATTCTCTACTGAGTGTGTGTTTCCTCTCATACCACACATCCATATTTACTGAGTCAACTTTCTTCTTTCTGGCTAATTTTAAAAGCTTCCACAGCACTTGGGAGGCTGAGGCAGGCGGAGCTCTGTAAGTTTGAGGCCAGCCTGGTCTACAGAGCAAGGTCTAGGACAGGCTCCAAAGCTACACAGAGAAACTCTGTCTCGAAAAGCCAAAACAAAAGTCTCCACAGCAGAGCTCACAAGTGCATTTCTCTCATCTAAACTGAATGGCAAAACATGGCCTACAAAAGTTATTGGCCTAAGATCATATTGCATGTAGTCTCAAATACATGTGGCTACATGCTTGAGAGTATGTATGCTCCACCCGCAGGAGCTCGGTCAGTGCAAAGAGGTTACAAAGTATTTCCACTCTGTAGATGAGGAAACTCTATCAAAAAGGAGGCAAATTGTTCAATATTATGCTTCCCAGGCGGTTGGTGGTGGGGACAGCAAAGAGTCTCCAGTATCCCAGCTACAGTCACCTGGTCTCCAGCTCTGCTCCACTCAAAAACTAAGACACCCTTCAAAAGTACACAAAACGTACAACAGAGACCATACTTTGTGACATTCTTGGCGCTAACTGCTACCATTCTGAATGCCATTTTGTGGATTAGTAAACAGAGTGGCAGGCACAGGGCAGTGAAGGGAGTCAGAGTCCACCCTTCACCCAGACCATCACCAGCTGTGAGCGCTCAGCTTCAGTGCTACTCATACAACAGAAGGAAAGCGAACCAATGATTTAGATTCTTATAACTTCCCCAGTTTCTTCTCAAATCTGCAAGGTACACACTAAACCAAGTGAAGCAGAGGCCCTGGAGTACAGCCTTTTAATTCACTTAAAAAATAGCTAATTACTTAAAGCCTACGTTTTCTTTAAGGAAACCTTTTAAGGTAGAGGGTTCATGGAGTCAGAACTGTCTCTTGGATCTCAAATGATAATTGAGAGGAATGGGGACTAGCTTGCTCATTTGTCTTTAAGGAACTGCCCCTGCTTACGTCCAGCTCGCCCCTTGTCCAAGACTGGGATGTGGGACTGCAGCGCGGACGGGTCGGCGGCCCTCCTCTTGTAGGTCTTGGTGACTTTGTCAACGTCAGGCTGCTTCCTGGTCATTTCTTCCATGAAGGTCTGGAAGGAACACCGGTGTCCATTAAATCACAGTATAGATCAGATTAACATCAGCAAAAAACAGATGACGAGGGGACTGTGCTGCCACTGCTAAAGGACCGTCACCATAAACGAACGTGGCAGTGGCTTTTACAGATTTCCACAGGATGCAAAGCAGTGCACCTGACCGAAAGCAAGTTCAGTTTAAAAACGACACTGCCGCTTTTCAGTCTGAAAACGCCGTCGACAAGCACTCCTAACTATCTGCACCAACACGGTTTGAACTCTGAAGCTCTTCCACCGGGGAAGTTAGTGAGCTGCGGCCAATCCACCTCCACAGTCTAAACACTGGAATGACTTTGCGTACAGCGGCAGAAGGTGGCCAAGTGAAACGCACATATACTTAAGGGTCATGAGCAGCGACTTCACATGGGGCTGAGGTTAAGGAAGCTAACGTTTACTGGAGTCTGGTCCCTACGTGCGGGCTATGTGGCAAAGGCTGAGGACAGGCTGGAGGAGGCAGACGGGTGAAGACAGAGGCTGCATGCTGCTGCAACATTTATCACGCTGGAAGACTTGAGCTACTATGATGCCTCTGAACGTAAACTGAGATATTCTGGACCACTCTAGACACCAGTAACACAGACAGAACATTTTTACATTTTATTTTTAGCTCTGTGGATGTATGTGAGGCTCTTGTCAGACTGCACAACACTCATGTGCAATGCCTGCGAGGCCAGAGAGGCTATTGGAATTCCTGACATTTAATTTACAGGTGGCTATGCACTGCCCAGTGTGGGTTCTGGGAACTGAAGTTGGGCCCTCTCCAAGTGCTCCTGACCTCTGAGCCATCTCTCCGGCTCCAATAATTAAACAAACTATGAGTCACAGCACACGAACACCAGCATTTCAGGGTTTGAAATGAGTCAAGTATACAGGGTAAAATGTCACGCTGAGAAAGAACATGAATGCCCTTTTACATAGGCTGCACCTGGCATGTGCACGATTGGCCATCTGAGCAAACAGAGGAAAGGCACACACGAAACAATAAACCACCAGGCAGAGTCACAGGGAGGAATGAGATTGCCCGACGAGGGAGCAGAACTAAACACTGGAGCTGAGGATACAATGGAGAAGAGGGCAGAATGGGTGGGAGTTAAGTGGCAGCTCAGGAGCCACAGGAGGCAGAGGAGTGTCCCAGAGGTCCTGGGGAGAGACACCAGGCTTGGGCTCGGGAGTGCGTCTGAGAAGCGCTGCAATGGCTGGAGGAGTGTGGGGGAGAAGACACCCAAGTTGATAGCTAATGAGTGAGGATCACGTCTATCTACCTGGTGTTCGGCAATGAGGGTCTTCACTTCTTCAATCTCCTGCGGGATGACTTCCTTATCTTTCTCACTGAGCGTCGTTTCGGCCCACTGCAGCCAGGCCAGCAAAGTTTCCAACAATTCCTGCTTAGCAATGAGCCCGGCCAGCGCCCCTGCTAACCTTTGCTGATGCTGCTTTGCCCAGGCCAGTACCTGTCGCAGAAACACACGGTTCACCGAAGTTCTTCCAGCTCAGGGAGTAGCTTCATTAACACAAACACATAAGCTTTACTGATTTAACATGTAAATTAGGATCATTCTGGGCTAGACCTATGACGCTTTCTTCTATTCTAGAAGAATAGAAGATCCGGCACCAAGGTCCGGCTTGAGGAAGCACCAAGACCCCCCTTTCAAGGGTGGTCGTCACCACCAGACGGCTAATGATGTATCCAGCATCTGGGTTTACTCCTGTTTATTCCTTGTGCTTTGTCAAGTTCAATATACCTCCTCTCGAGGACCAAAGTGTGTATTCCAGGCAGCTTTGGAAACAGTAGAATCGAAAGTGCTAAGATCTTAAACAGGAGTTCAACCCCCATTGTGCTCTTCAGTTCACTTGCTCCACAAGCACACACGGCCCTGAAGCACTCTTCAGGGTGGCGGCATTCAGCAGACACCATGAACAGGGCAAAACCTACAGAGAACCAAGCATCTGCCTCTTCAGGGCTCAGGGCCACAGATGCAGATCCCACACCTTCTGTAGCCACAGACACCGTCAGGGTCTGACGCCCAGAGAGAGTCTATAGGGCATGCTCCTGTCCAGGCCTCACTGCCCTCGACTGCTGAAATTCCCCATTCTCCTGGCCTGACTCACAGCCACCGCTAGCAGAGACGAGGGAAGGCGCACTGACCTCTTCAAACCTGGCCTGGATGATGGTTATCCAGTGCTTGATGGTGGTAATGGAGTCAGGGTGGCAGAGGGCCAAAAGAGCGTCACCCTTACTAGTGGCCTTCCTCAGTTCGGCTCTTTTTTCTTCCAGTTTCTTCATGAACTCCTGTAGCAGAACAGACACTTCAGTTAGCTGCTGCTGCTGGCTGAACACAAGGTTTTAGTGACATTTGTTCACTGTCTGGCTTCTAAAAATAAGTAAGCATTTCAACCTGGGTGTGGGATTTGATGCTGGCTGGTGGTCAGCCCCCAATCATATAAACTAGATTTCTAAATACTGAGCTGAATCTAAAACCCACCATAAGCCCACCACACTTTGCCCCACTCTTACAGTCTAGCTTCACATGGAAACCTTGTTTAAAGCCTTCATTCCTCCTCCAGGTAATGCTGTGCAAGCCTGCATCACTATCATTAACAGCGAGGCCGCATTTCCTTGCTATAGTTAGCTAACCCTTCTTTGAGGAAGGGCAATAATTAAAGTATGAATCGGACGATGTAATGCATGCTATACTAGAATGATGTACTTCCAACATGACCTTGAAAGGCCAGGTTATTTAGCAGTGTTGGAGAAAATCTTTCAAGTTAATCGGAAGTGCTGACATCAACACCGCGTAGGGATAGGGTGTGAGCACTGTAAATTCCTGACTTTCCAGTCAAAGGTTAAAAACCATCTGCTATGGGGACCACTCTTGGGAGGGTTTTGCCAAGTTCCAAGCATAGCTGTTGAAAATTAGCTTAGCTGGGCTTGATAACTCAATGGCTACAGTTTTGCCTGGTTAGTTGTTCAACAGTATGAAATGAATGCTTTAAATTTATAATTGATTTTACAGGTTAGTTCTTATAAGAATTTTTATAAGGCTCTTGTTTAAAAATGAGAAGTGGGTCTAGAGAGACTTTTCAGTGAGTAGAATGGGTGCTTCAAGTGTGAAGTCCTGGGTTTGAGCCCCAGGACCTATATGACGGAAGGGAAGAACAAACCCTTCCAAATTGTCTTCTGACCTCTGTAAGCACAGGGTGGTGCCCGCAATACACACGATTCAAATAAATATATATATATACATAAAATAAACCTCCCAAAGCAGAAGAGGCTTAAGAATAATAATATTCTAAGGCTTTAAGTGAGCTGCTTATTTTGCATGTAAATGCCAAAATTATTAATGTACAGTTCTAGTGGGATACTTTGTAAATGTCAAGCTGTTCTTTATTCTTGAAACACACATACAAGTGTGACAAAATGGGCTGACTCTGATCAGAAGCCAATGGCCCTCTAGAAAAATCAATGTGCAGCCTAGAGAGAAAAAATAGGGTGCCCAATTCTACTACAGTGACCACTTCCTTTCAAAAGAGCACCTAAAAGGCCACCTCTACCTACCTAGGTGTGCAGGTCTATGTGGACAGGTGTGTAAGCAGGGAGGGTAGAGACACATTCTCAAATATACCAGACAGTCAGTTTCTTCTCAGGAAGGAAAAGAACTCTTGCCCTTGCTATGTGCAGTCATGGGCTTCTTCTCCTTACCTTCTTCATTTTCCCATTTTGTTTGACTCACTGACTGGAAAGGACTCACCTTATGTTGATCAATGAGAGTCCGGAGAGCATCCTCATCATCTGGGAGAGCACCATGGAAACGTAGGGTTTGCTCTGCTTCCGCCAGCCACTCCAGGAGGGTGTGGACCACAGAGTGAAATTCCTCTGCCTAACAGTTAATACACACACACACAAAGCAAGATATCCAGTACACCTGTTAGCAACATTTCCAGAACTGTACACACGTCCCCCCACCATGAAAAAAGTCTTGAATGAATTATAGACATTACCCCTGTTACGAAGACAGTGACATGCCACTGTGTTTTACAAATATAAGGAGAGACAGAATACATCAGGAAGGCCTACAGGAAGACGAGGTCACCATTCTTGCAGCCTAGTGTTAGATGAATGGCAGCTGGAGTTGGGCTTCCCAGCTGAGATAGTACTCAAGCAGAACTAAGTATAGATTAGCAGACACCCTTGCCAAGTACTTTAAGTTCTTAGGGTAGGAAGCAGGAAGAAGGGCACAGAGAGTGATGAGGCAGACTCCTGACTGTCTGGGATGAGGACGAGGACTGGACCTCTGGTCTACCAGAGCTCTTCTTGCTGGGGCCCCAGGCCTTCCCTCATTGCACTTAGCTGTTGGTTATGTGGATTTTACCTGGTGCAGAGCTGCTTCTAACCGCGTCTGCTTTGATATAGAAAGCGCACACACAGTCTCCCAGCGGGTGCTCAGCTCCTGCATCTGGACCTTGACCCAGGAGGAGTCATCCCGGCTGCCTTCTATGAGCTCTCGGGCAGAGCGCTTCAGTGCCTGCACGCTGCTGGTCCGCTTCCCCAACTCTTTTTGGAAAACCTAAGGAAACCATATTAACTTTGATCAAAGTTCACTTTCAATTACAAAACCCAAATAGCAAAATGCACTGTTGTAAGATATATGTGCATATAAAACACCATGTATATACACCTATAGTCTATACTTTTTAATGACCACATTTTTGGAAGAATCTTCACAAGGTAGGAAGCAACTCATGATTCCTCTTTGAGGATTTAACACTGTCTTGGATAGATGTATTTATATTTGATAACATTCTCGTAAGGAATCGGATTATTTATTTATTTATTTAGTTAGTTTTTTTTTGAGACAGGGTTTCTCTGTGGCTTTGAAGCCTGTCCTGGAACTAGCTCTTGTAGAACAGGCTGGCCTCAAATTCATAGAGATCCGCCTGCCTCTTCCTCCCGAGTGCTGGGATTAAAGACATGTGCCACCACTGCCTGGCGGAACAGATTTTTTTAAAGCATTAACCTGTGTTTTCACAGTGTAGAGGACTTGTCACTTCAGTGGGTAGGCTTTGGGGAAATCCAACCTCCCCCTCTTAATTTAGGCAAATTTAAAAGTAATGTGGCTTCTTTGAGTTACTCTAAGAAGTAGAGGGTTACTTCATTTTTTTATGAACACAGGGCTCTTCATTTTTTTAATCTAAGTGTCTGTATATAAAACCAGATATTCAGGTCGGACATTGGTGGCACAGGCCTTTAATCCCTGCACTTGGGAGGCAGAGGAAGTAGGATCTCTGTGAGTTTGAAGCCAGTTTGGTCTATAATAGCTCCAAAGCTACAGAGAAACCCTGTCTTGAAAAACCAAAAACCAAAACCAAACCAAAAATAAATTAAAAAACCAAAAAACCCCCAGATATTCAGAACCAGTTTTCTATCTTCAATAAAGTTATTTTAGTTGTCAAAAATAATCATCCCAGAGGAACCTTATCCAAAACAATCCAAACAGATTATATGAGCAGCCTGACAGGCTTTGGTCTCACAGTGTTCAACAGTATGCAGCTACAGACAGACAGACATCCCACCAATACACACAGCAGGGAAATATCTACATAATCATTCGGGACAGCACTATTCAATAGCTTCAAAGTGGACTTTCCAAGACCTTTGTATAGTGAAACTTCTGGCGTCTTCCAACTGCATTACTAATCCTTAATGAATAAATCATATTTGATGAGTTTTTAATGTGTAAAGTCTGGAAAGTGCTTCAGATACCAAGTATCTAGACAGTAAACTTAACAATGTGGCGTTTGCGTACCGAGTAACACTACATCACCCACTATTCACTGCAGAAATGCCTAGCCATGCCTGGACTTATCACACATAAGAATATTTCCTTTGCTGGGCAGTGGTGGCGCATGCCAATAATCCCAGCACTCGGGAGGCAGAGGTAGACGGATTTCTGTGAGTTTGAGGCCAGCCTGGTGGGCCAGACCAATGTTGAGACAGTATCTCATGGCACAAAGATAACCTTGAACTTCAAGTCCTCCTGTCTCTACCTCACCAGTGTTAGAATTAAAGGTATGAGTTACCACTGGGCATAGGCAGTGTCAGGGATCAAATCGAGCACTAACCCTGCATTCAGGCAACTGAGGTAAACCCCCAGGATTCTCTTTATTTACTCTTTTCTTTTCTTTTCTCTTAGTTTTAATTCATGTACTACTAAAGTTCGAGAGTAACCTCATGACCTCTTGGAGTGTTCCTGCCTGTACATCTAGTCGATGACTTCCTTCTAAATCACTAAATGCATGACTTTGAATTTTATCATGCAACTGTTCGAATGAACACCCCAAAAGAGCCACAACATGAAATTATATTCAAGTCTAGAGCAGACACAGATCTGGTGATTAAAAGAATAGCATTCCACTGTTTAAGTGATGGCCCCACCCACATCTCTTTTAAAGATGGCTTCCGCATCTGCTCAATCACACATTTCAGTAAGAAGACGGTGACGGAGGAAGACACTCTCAAAATTTTAAAAGGCTACTATTAGCTGCTTGTATTCTCTTCAATGTGTGAATAAATAACCCAACAGCAGCACACAAAGAAAGTTCTGGCCGGCAATACCTTGTGATTATCAATTAGGTTCATCACTAAGTCAATGTCTCCATGGACAGGCTGGTCTTCTGCCAGCTGGGGCTCCACTCGATACAGCCAGTCAATGAGGGCCTGCAGAGCATCTGTGAATTGTCCAGAAAATAACAGGGCCTCCTCCAATTTGTTTTGTCTAGGAAAAGAGGAGATAAATTAGCCTGCTGAAGTTCCCAGTGATGGTTGGTGGCCCTGAAGTGGAAGAGTGAAGGGTCTTTACTGTCTCCTCTGCTTTCCTTAGAAAATACTTTTCTCTTTTATTCCTTTACACGTCTGACATCTGTTACAGGAAAATTCCCTGAATCCCATATTGCAAATCACTGATCCTTCTAGAGTCTAAATACACATATGCATTCTGAAGTTTTATTGAAAAAGATTTGTTTAATGACGTGTCAGTATGAAGCTGCCTAGAACTGAACATTCTATTTCGTCTTGACACAGATTGAAAATCTATAATCCAAACTCCAAAATTAAAAATTTCCCAAATCTGAAAAATTTCATCATCAACATGATGCTGCAGAATCCCACACAATAAAACTTTGTCCCATAATGTACTTTTAAAAAATAAAATACAATAAACAAACTGGCTTTCTAATTTTAGCCCTGCAGTCTTCTTGTGATTATGTGAGGAAGAAATACGGTGGATAACAGCCTCAGAGATCGTGATAAGAAAGAGTGACCGACTTCATGCTGTGAATCAAACCCAGGACTAATACTCCCAAAACACATCATCAAGAGAAAGTCACAAGAAGGCTGCCACAGAAAAGAACCCATCCCACCAGGTGAACAATTCTCAACAGAAAAATTAAAAAAAAATGTTAGCCTCAGTAACACATCGGATCAGGCAGAAGAAAACCCAGCAGAGCTTGAAGGTAAGTCTTCTGGACCGATAGAGTCCCAAAGAAAGAACAAAAGAGAAGTAGAAAACCATGGAGAGAAAAGGCAAGAACCCCGGGCTACCCTGAAACAGTGAACTATTCCAGTCACTAGCATATCTGAGGAGGAAGAGTGACAGGCCAGGGGCACAGAAAACCACTTTAGTAAAACAACAGCAGAAAACTCCCCAAACCTTGGGACGTGGATATCCAGGTACGAGAAGCATTTACAGAACATCAAACACACGTTACCATTACATATTATACTTATGTTGTTAAAAGTATAGATGAAGAAAGAATATCACAGTCCGTGTGAGAGAAATGTCCAGTGACATTTGAAGGTAACTACAACAGACTAACAGCAGCATTTCTCAGAAGGACCCTAAATGCCAGGAAGGCATGGAATCGTGCATTTTGGGTCCTGACAGAAAATAACCACCAACCGAGACTGCTGTACCCAGCAGGTTTGTCCTTCACAGTCTAGGAGAAGTCAGGACCATCTGTGGTAAGAAGACCAGAAGCACAACAGATGCTTAAGGGACACCTATACCCAGAAACAGAAGGAATTTAGTAGACACCATCACTGAGATCATGAGTAAATCCCATTAGAAAAAAAGATACGGGCCAATAAGGAAGGAAGTAACAACTGTAATACAGTAAAAATCACATGTATAAGATAAATAGAAAGAAATGAGCAACTGATATTCAAAGTCACTAGGAGAAAATCAGAATGAGATGTAAATTTATATGCCAAGTATTGGAACAGCACCTAATTTTCTAAAAACCAAACACTACTAGACATAAAAAGGATATTTAGGCCCCACTGCATCATTTGGTGACTGTAATACCAAGAGCAACTTTGCAAAACTGGAGAAAAACATCTCCAAATCACATGAGAGCACAAAAGACTTCATGTATCCCAGGAAACCTAAACAAAACCACACCGGAGCCAAAATAAGGCATAAGGATAAAGCACTTCAGGATGCTGGCACAGGTGCATTTCCTAGATAAGACTTCAGAAGCAGAGAAAACAGGAACAGACACCTGGAATTACATCAAAGGTTCTGCCCAGCACAGCAGATGGTCTTCACTCTGTTACCTACAGGATGAAAGTATAAATTGGTTTGAATGAGGTGGAGTTCACAGGCTCTTTGAATACTTGGCTAGAACTGCTTGGGAAGGATTAGGAGGTGTGGCCTGCTACGAGGTGATGTGTTACTGAGAGTGGGCTTTGAGGCTTTAAACGATAACCCCAGTGTGTACTCTGACTCTCGCTTGTGGTCTGAGATGTGAGCTCTCAGCTGTTCCTGATGCCATGCTTTTCCCCCACCATCATGGACTCGAATCCTCTGGAATTGTAAGCCTACTTAAATCCTTTCTTTTATTAAAACTAAAAAAAAAATTAAAATAAAAAAAATCACCTCAGGTTACATATGTAAGTTATATATGAAACAAATGGATTTCAAACTTAGACTAGAGTCAGTTTTAGCCTCAAGATATTTCATGGTGTATATTCAAAAATCTGAAGGAAAAAAACCCACCAAAATCTGAGTATTTCTCATCTTAAGCCTTTTGGATAAGGATACTCAACTTTCATGACAAAAGTAACTAGAGCTAACAATCAGTGAAACACAGGATGTTTGACCTTTTTTGACTATGACTGTACTTTATTGAAGACTTGGAAGTTTTAAAGGAAGTCTTGGGACCTCACAAAAGTCCATTGGGACAAAGGAAGGTTGGATGCTTGAGCTAATGCTGGGTCAGACCAGTTCTGCCTTGCATAAGACGTTATGGAGCCTGTTCTATTTTATATCCAAAAGCAAGTTCTTACAAGGGTGGGGGGTGTGAGAGAAAGAAATGGTAAGGCTCCTGCTTGTATTTTAATATAAGTACTCTATCAGTTATATGGAAATCGAAGGAGAAAAACAGTAGCTGGGAGCCAGGCATGGTAGCATTGCCTGTAATCCTGGCACTTGAGGAGCTGAGAAAGGAGGATCAGTGCAAGTTCAAGGCTAGTCTTGGCTACACAGTGAACTAAGAGGCCCCTAGAATACAGTGTGGAACCGTCTACAAGTAAGCAAGCAGACCTAGGTGAAAATAAGCAGTAGTCGGGCAGTCTTTTCAATATGTTGAGGGGTATTTAGGAAAAACAGATATTCCTTGCCCATAGGACTCCGAGGGCCACAAACTACCTCTGCAAACACTCTCCTGTGCATCTGAGGCAGGTCTATGACGTCACCAGCTGTCGGGAGGAACACCCTACCTTTCCACAGACTTTCCGCATATGGTGTCCCACTTGTCCCTGAGTTCACTCAGCATGTTGTCCAGCTTCAGGTTGTCATCAGCCAGTGTGGTTTTCTCCTTCAGAGAACGTCCAGTTCGATTGGTGGTATCATAGACAGAATGCTTCCCTCCGAGGGATTTCTGAAACTCCTACATATTTAACAAGAAGAGAGTAAGTTGCTACTTGGAACTGTTTGTTTACCAATAGGCAAAAAGCGTTAAAAGCAGGGTCTTGTTTAAGTCTGGGCATTCAGTCCTTTGTTCTCAGCATCATGACCAGCCAGGCTTCTCTGTATTAACTGTCATTCACTGCAAAGGGAAGCTTCTTCGCTCAAGGTTGAGGGCACCGCTAACCTTTGGGTATAAATATAAATATTAAGAAGGCACTCTGACAGGTGCAATTAATGAAACAAAGGTAGCATGTTCATCTTTCGCATCTATGACCTCCCCAGCCATGGTTCTTTGACCAGATCCCTAGTAAAAAAAAAACTTCATATCAAATCTCAACTCCTCTGGTTACCCCCATAACAGTCATGCCACTATTGCACAGTAGACATACTTGGCCTGGCAAGTTGGTATTGTAGCATGCAAGCTACACATGACTCCCTCTAAGTCCCCCAAAAAGCTGTGAAGGAGACGGCAGAAGGAATATGAGTCAGACATTGGGGAAGAGGGCCATAAAACTTTGTCTTATGGGAATGAAAAGCCATGGCATGCATAAAGTCAGCGCAACTGCAGTTGCTTATACAGGATCTGCAAGAGGCTAAACTCAAAAATGTAAATATTCAGTCACAGGTGGGGGAGGGGTTCCGAGGAGTCATGGTAGGAGAGGGACACTATTGGGGGCGAGGAAATCACTATCTTCAGTAATGCAATGATTGCACTGTTATTCACGATCCACTGGCTAGATTCACACTCATGTCCTCATGGGTTGCCCTTGTTAAACCCAATGGGTCACAAAGCAAAAACCAAAAAGAAAAAGTATGAAGGGGATTTGGGAAGAGGATGAAAGAAGGCGAAGATACGAGTAGGGCCAAATGTACTGCAAAAATGTTTGAAACAACCAAAGGACACATCATTTTCTTTTAAAGAGGCATCTCTAATGAATGGAGGCCTGGCAATGGAAGACATCAGCAGGCAATTAAGCCTGATACATAGCACTCTTCTATGCAGGGTCATCTCAGGACAGAAAGCAATCTTAAACTTGATAACCGAGGGCTTGCTCTTTCTCAAGCTCAGTGACTGTAGGAGTATCTGTATTATTAAGAAAACAATTTCAAATCTTTTTGATGGTGGGGAGGAAGATGTCTAAAACCAGGGCCTTGTGCAAGGCAGGCAAGCTGTTGACCATGGAGTGATTACATCCTCAGCCCAAATACTCTTGGAGACATAAACCACAGACTCTGCAATAACTGTGATCAAGCAATGACTGCAAGGTTTTAGAGAGGAAAACGTGGCCACATACCGGTAAGTCTAGCCTGGACAGGGCGATTAGCTAGCGCAAACTTACGATAGGTTTCTGTTGTTGTCGGGCATCCCTATTGCTACCTAATGTGGATATTCAGAGCACCACACAGGTAATTTTGTCTGGGAGCCAGAAGTCAGAACTGCCATTCTAGAGTCCGATGGAAAACCTTTACCCATTCTCTCCAGCTGTATAAATCTCTATCTCTACAGAGGGCTATATTACTTTTCCAGGATCAAATGGCCATTGTGCTGTGGTAATTCAAATGTAACTGGCCCCCATAATCTCATAGGGAGTGGCACTACTAGGAGGTGTGGCTTTGTTAAAGGAAGTGTGTCACTATGGGGACGGGCTTTGAGGTTTCCTATGCTCAGGATATTGTCCAGTGGCTTGGTTGACTTCCTGTGGCCTGCAAGACTTAGGACTCAGCTACTCCCACAGCACTACAGCTGCCTGCATGCCGCCATGATGCTAATGGACTGAAAGCGAGCCCCTCAATTAAATGTTTTCTTGATAAGAGCTACCGTGGTGTCTCTTCACAACAACAGAAACCCTCACAAAGACATGTGTACTAATGTAACATCTATATAGTACCGCTCTTTACCTTTTAGTTACGGCTTTCATGTTTATGTATGTATATGTGTAAGGAAATGACTTATTTTCTTCCCACACAACTCAATCATATTTATAAGAACCAGGACTGTGTTTGTGGGCCTCTTAGTACCTTTCCTAGCTAGCAGGTATTTGTAAGTATTTACAAAAAGAGTAGGAAAAGGGGACCATTGCTGCTGAAGATACAATCTCAGGAATAAAAAGAAAGGTCAACTTAGCATACACTGTCTAGGCTGATGGACCTGCAAGGTGACACCAGCAGAGCGACTTTCAATGCTGGCAGCACACTGTGACGGGCCAGGTAACAGGTACCACCAACCTCTCGAGCAGCGGTTCTCAACTTCCCTGATGCCGCGACCCTTTAATGAGGTTCCTCATGCTGTGGTGACTCCCAACCATAAATTAGTTTATGGCTACTTCATAACTGTAATTTTGCTGCTGTTAGCAATTGTAATGTAAATATATCTGTTATTCAGGATATCACCTCACCCAAAAGTTGCTAACTGCGGCAAATCTCAAGGTTACAACTATCCAATTCATTTTTATTGCATTTTCAAAGCTACCCTCCCCACTGTTAGAGTGTGCCACCAGTGATGGCTGTCTTCTCATGCTATTCTGAATGGAACACTGTGTTTGGAGCCAAGGCGTTGACATGGATCGCCTCCACAGCAGACACACACTAAACAATTCATTGGAGTAGACAGACTAGAGCTTTCCGATGCTGATTAGCAAAGATTTCTTTCAAAATTGCTTTTATGCTCTGCCTTAAAGATGTGTCTTGGAGAAGTCGTTAACACTGGTAATAAATAACATTGGGTAAAATGGAGACTCTAACATTCTCTGCATATTTGTTTCTCTGGGTTTCTCTAACTTTAAGATGCAATGCAACTTTTGTAAGATTACATAATATCCACTTATAAATCGAAAAACAGCATTTTATTTTGAGCATTTTATTAGCAAAAAAAAATTTGTCTAATTTTTTCATCAGAGGAGTATGGATGATGCTGGCCATTGTGGCAGCTCACAGACAGAAGCCATCAGCAAAACAAGGCAATCCTAAAGCCTTGTCTAGCCCGAGGGCACACATGCTTCCTCCCATCATCCTCTAGTCACGACCCTCTGGGTGACTTCACAGAACACATGTGAAAATTATGTCTCGATTTTTTTGAAGAAGATAAATCTTAAACTACCCCACAATCTTCTAGTATTTTTAAAATCGCCAAGTTCTAAGTAGTGATTTCCATGCAGCGATCTGAAACTGTGAAAGTGGAATTTTACACACACACACACACACACACACACACACACCCCAGTTCTTAGATACTGTCAGTCAACTTTTCCTACCTCTCTGTTTAGAAGGATCTGTTTAATTACTTATGAGACGAGGCTTTACTATGTTCCCCAGTCTGTCAAGTGGTTCTGAATCATGATGTAACTACCTCTGCGTTCTGATGGTCTTAGGCAATCCTGGGATTGCCTAAGTCATTTGACCCCCATAGGGGTTGTGATCCCCCGTGCTGAGAACCACTGTTCTAGACCGCAGCCTTTTTTCTGGTCTGGTGATGAATACACACATGGACAAGGAAGATCAGTGGTGGTCTTGAAACGCAGAGTGCGTTTTTTAAGTGAGCAGCTCACCTTGTGCTGTGCCAGCTGTGTTTTGATTTTGTCTGGATCGTTGGCGATTTCCAGTTCAGAATCCAAAGACTTTTCTGACTCTTCCAGCCATTCCATTAGTTTACTCCAAGCTTCATGGAACTGGTAAAGAGACCACATTTGTTCAGAAAGTCGTGAAGTACACAATGCTTGAAATTTAGTAAAACAGAAACAACTACCAATGGATTCACTATAAACCATCAATTCAAACATTCCCCTGAAGACAAATGGGGAAGACTTCATGAGCAAACTGCGGAGTGTCCTGCCACACTGGACACACGTGACTGTGGCCTGAGTCACGCAGCTGAAATTCAGTCAGCACACCAGGTCACCGAGTCCAGGAAAGAGCCAGGGAAGGAGCTCTAGGGGCCCTGCCGCCACCACACTGCCTCCTTTTGCTCAGCAGTTAACACAAACTCTCAGAGAATATGTTTTGTTTCTCTGTCTCTTTACATAGCTTGACATTTTTCTGTGCTAAACTCCTATGTCAAGAAAAAGAAGAGGAAAAAGTCCAACACTTGTGAATTATTCTTTAAACACGCCAAGAACAAAGAAGGCTGTCTCCTTAATACACGAGGTAGCCTAACACCCTCACCCCTGCTCTGGAGCCCCACTCAGTGCTCCTCACAACCTCACCCCTGCTCTGGAGCCCCACTCAGCCCTTCTAACACCCTCACCCCTGCTCTAGGGCCCCACTCAGCCTTCACCCACCTCTTGTGGTCAGATGTGCACTACCACCATGCTAGCATTCTAACCATGTCTAATTCTGTTTGCCAACCAGGAACTTGAAAACATTGTAGGTCAGCACATGTTTGAGTACAGCAGAGTTTATCTTGTGCTTATCTTCCAGAAGAGCAATCAGATACAAATTCTGGATACCAGTTATGAAACTAGTTACAAGGTTTTCTCTCTCTCTCTCTCTCTCTCTCTCTCTCTCTCTCTCTCTTTCTCCCTCCCCCCCCCCCCTCCAGGGTTTCTCTGTAGCTCTGTAGCCTGTTCTGGAACTTGCTCTGTAGACCATGTTGGCCTCGAACTCACAGAGATCCACCTGTCTCTGCCTCCCGAGTGCTGAGACTAAAGGTGTGTGCCACTAACATCGGGCCATGGTATTTCTTATAATACATTTAAATGAAGAGCTACAGAACAAAAGCTAAAGAAAGGAGAGTAAGATCCCTGGCCACACAAACACACTGAAATGAAGTAACAAAAGCGGCATAGCCACAGCAACACTAGTATCTTGCAGCACAAGCTGCGAGACTGTACATGCACTAAAGAACAGCTCATCACAGACTTGGCCTCCCTGCCCGGCACAGGCCTCTCACATTGCTAATCAACATAAATGTGAAGGAAAAGGAGGAGGACGGGACAAACTCGTGATAGTAACAGCCAGAGAACCACATCAGTCCACGAGACAAAACCTAGGACAGGGAAGGAATGAGAGGACAGTCGCACGAAGTGATGTGTGGTTTGGCTCTAAACAGGTGTGGAAGCGGGCTGTTGAGTGGTGTACAATACACAGACTTTGATGCCCACCCTCTAATGCTATGCTTAAGCCACAGAAACAGGACAAACACCATCCATTTGCACTGGAGGCAGAAAAATACAAAGCTGGCTGACAAGATGAGACCACAGCACTGGCTAGAGGGAGAGAGGAGAGGCGGCAAGCAGCTACTAGCATTCAACAAGCCTTGTAAGTTAGCTGCTGAAACTCAAGAAATACTTGTGGAGAGGAATATGCCAGGCTCAGAATCAATACTGTCTAACAGAATCTTAAGAGACCGACTCTATTTCAGAGACTGAGTCAAACGTTTCACTCAGAAAGGGCTTATGACATTTCTAAATCCTTTATGCATCACTCAGACACCACACTCCAATGTCACCCATGCCAGACAACAGGAGCTGAATGAGGCAAAAGTAGAAACCACAAAATTCAGCCTCAATATTACACTAAGTTTCTAGTTAAAAAAAAAGAAGAAAAATTCTCTGCCAAATAAGGTGACTCTATCCCCACAGGGCAGAAAGATGTGTAATTTTCCTCTTGTTTGTGGTTAGTTCAGATGTCAGTTAACGGCAGGTTAAGACAGAATAGAAAGCTCTCTGTGAGGTTGTGAGAGTCCCTAAATCAAATCAAATCAAAAGCAGCTGCCAGAGATTCAGGTAATTAGCTTCGAGTGAGATGGAGCTACACCAGGGTCTTTGGGAAGAAACAAAAGCCGCCAATGAGCAGCCTGGGAAGAGGGCATCAGCAGGAAGATGCCCCTCGGGGAACACTGTGGAGGTCGCAGGTCTGGTCCTCAGCTCTGATGTGGAGGAAGTTTGACTTAGAGTTAGCAACATAAGATGGTCTGGTGCCCCTCTCGGATTAAGAGAACAGGAGTTGAAAGGGCAAGGACAAAAATAAACACACTGCAAAACAAAAATCTCTAAGTTCTTAATGGGCCTTGATGAAGCTGAGCTATTTATAGCTTTTCAAAATGAGTCCCCATGGCCCAACGTGGCTGCCAGCACAAAAAGGTGACGTCCAAGAGTCCAAAGGCAGGCCGGCCACTGCCCTTTCAGGAAATGAACACCATGGCTTCTTATTGTTACACGACGCGGCCTGCGATAAAAGCCCTGTGATCACACATCTCTACAGCTTCAGCTACCGACTGCCAAGGTCAGAGAACATCACCCTAGTTTACTACCTGCTTGGCCCTCTTCCTCGCTTCATCCAGGGACCTTCCTCTTTCCACCAGCCGCTGGACCACCTTCTCCCACCGGCTCTGCACGCTGATCAGCAGGTTCTTGATGAGCACCACGTCTTGTTTCTGACTGAAGTACTTCAGATGGGTTCCAGTTTTGTCCAGTTCTATTATCTGCTCGCGGTGAGAATTTACTTCATTGGCGAAGACCTTTCCCGCAAAAGAAGAACATAATTAGAAACACGGAGAAATGGATTGACTTTGAAAGTGTATGACTGTCACAATGCTCGCGTTAAAGGGCAAGGAAAAGTTCTCAAGTGGGGAGGATGAGGGGGTGAGTCCAGGAGGAATCAGGGGAGCTACAGGAAAGTGATCAGATATGCTGCATACAGGTGTGATGTCCTCAAGGAATAAAACAATATATTACAAAAGAAAGTTTTCAAATTACTAAATGGATGCTTATGACAGGATGGCAGACTGGTCTCTGGAAGCCAGGTGCTTCCCATCTGAGCTTCCACGTACCTTGTGCTCATCGATCTGAAACAAGATTGTGTCCAAGATAAGACTTGGCCGAGAAGCCACATTCAGGGTTTGCTCAGCCTGGGTGAGCCAGTTGATGAAGTCCTGGAGGGAATTGTGGAAGTCCATTGCTAAGTGGAGGGCCTCTTCCAATTTGGTCTGTAAAGGAAGACAGTTTAGTATGTGGGGTTCGTAGTTTGCTTGCTGTGTGTCAGTTTAATCAACTGACTTAAAAAACTAATACTTATAAAGCCTAAGTACAATCATATCATTCTCTTTCGTCTAATTTGTGATCAGAATACAATTATTCCTAACCTAGAACTTGAGTGCTTTGATATTTTAAAAATCACCAGAGCATAAACCAAGTAACACCTGACCTGTGATAAATTTTTATCTGCACCGTACCTATGTTTTCTTGGGTTAGAATACGGTGCTTAACTTCATAAAACACCAAGTATATACAAAAAATATGGACACAGATCATGAAAATTAGACTCCTGATAGCTAGACATAAAACCTAGCCCAGGCCCTGATGACAGCAAACACTGCTCTGCCGCACGGACTGAAGCACGTACTTTCTTCTCGTTGAGCTTGTTTTTCACAGATTCCCATTTCTCTTTCAAGTTGTTTATGTCCTGGTCAATATTTGTCTCTGCAGATTTGGGGCATCTTGCGAGCATCTGCTGCCCTTTCTGCATCAGACTCTTGTACGTTTCTTCTTTGATGTCAAAGGCAGCGCAGACTTCCTAAAATGAGAGGCTTTCATGTCATATGACTTGCCAAAGAACACGATGTAAGTTACATTTTTTTTAAAGGAGATTTACTTGTAATGTGTGCTAACGTACACTTGTCTGCCTAAACACACATGCACCATGTGTGTTCCTGGAGCCCTGCCTGGTGCCCGTGGAGGTCAGAAGAGGGGAGCGTTATAAACCATGATATAGGTGGTTGGGCCCGCGGTACAACCAATGGGTGCTCCTAACCATTGAGCCTCAGTCTTCAAAGTCATACATATTTTTTTTTTTTAAGGCCAATCCATTCTAAGCCTCCATCATACGTTCATCTTTCTGGCTTACAGAGCATCTCTGACAGACAGCTACACTGCACTCAATACCGAAGCAGCACCGACGCTGACAGCCACTCCCTATCTACTGCATGTTGTGTGCTAAGGCCTACAGCAATAACTGGCATGCTGCCAAGAAGGGTCTCGCTGCATGGTAACCAGTGTGATCTGTGATGTTGTGCCAACAATTTAATTTCTCTGAGTTTTTCCTCCTCTGCAAACCAAGAGAAACATCTATGTCCTTTCTACCATGATAAAATAACTAAATAATTATTGGTACAGTTTAACCCTGTACTCAGCAAACATGTGAGGGACAGAAATCCCAGAACCAGTACAGAAAGATGCTCAGGCTGATACAGAGATTGCCAGAGTAGTGAGTGGAGTCACACTTGAGATACCATTTTCACTGATAAAACTTTAAAAGTTGCCAATTAGGATGGTGTGTGAATCTTCTACGATAAATACAGGAGAACACTGACTAAAATTCAAAGTTTAACACCAATGAAACAACAGTTATAATTCATTAAAAACCAAAAAATTCAACTTTTCTCACACAGATTGAATTATAACGTGGGATGAATCAGTTTTGACTGAAAGTTATACATTCCACATCTTACTGATAGTTTCAACTTTTTAAAAAATCAAGTTAAGTTTTATACAACTATTACACTAATTATACACTAATTAGTGATCTGAGTCATTACAAAGCTCACTAAGTACATTTTTAGCAGCTGAAACCTGTATTCCTCATCCTTAAAAGAAAGCACATTAAAGATGAAGCACACTTACAGCATCATTTTAAAATAGCGTTAGACCCTAAGGCAGCGTCAGGATGTGACCACTCCACATCTTGTTCTCATCTTCATTTCTAGGAAACTTCTGCCACGGCCTTATAGTTTTAGAATTTGCTAGATGTTTATTTATTGATTGGGTTTTTCAAGACAGAATTTCTCTGCGTAGCCCTGGCTGTCCTTGAGTTTAAGGCCAGCCTGGTCTACAAAGGAACTCACAGAGATCACTCTGCTTCCCAAGTGTTAGAATTAAATGTATGTGCCACCACTGCCCGACTTCAAACTACGTATTTTATATATAGCTTTCTGGAAGTTCTTAAGATGAGCTCTCTGCTTTCAAGTTCTTATATATCTTTTGTAAAGAATAACATTCTGAAGATAGAATTAATTCTTAGTAATTATGAACTATGTGAAAGCTATGTAAGCATTTCCAGAGACTAATGAACTACTTGAGTTCACTGAGCTATCAAATCATTCACAGTTTTCAGAAAGATGAGCATTCTTAGGGTACAAATCAGCAGGCAAAACTACGTCATTGAGCAAACGGGTCTTGCCCAGTGGCAAACAGCAAAACCAAACCATGGGGTTATAGGCATTTGCCAGGTCTAGCCTGATAATTTTAGAGATGTTCTTCATACAGCTTATAACTTGGAATGTGTGGGGAGGGGAAAGGGAGGGTGGGAGGGAGAGAAAGTGACTGTGTTACTCAAAATCACTACACTTCTTTAAAACCTTTTTCATTGCTAAATGGTGCTGTTTCGAGCATTTACATACAATGATTTCTGCCACAAAACTTAATGTTTTAACCATATCTTCTTCCATTATTATTTATGCATTACCCGGGCCAGAGCTGCAGAAAACACCATACATACCATATGTGCATTCAGCTGCTCCTCGGCAGTTTCTGGCAAACCTCCCAGGGGTTTGGATGCCAAGAGGTGACGCTCTGTGTCAGTCAGCCACTGCTGCAAATCCTCGATTTCACCATGGAACCCTTTGGCCTGCAGTGATTGGGTAGTTTTAGGTTTGTGTCACAAATACTATCACTTTCAAGCAAGGTCCAATGGCCCCAGCTGGTTCAGCCTCTCTCGGTATCGCATAACGCAAGGAAGCCAGATGTTGGGACCAGTGGCTCGCTACCTGCGCACCCCATCAAGAAAGCCCAGGTCAGCTAAGAGGTGGAGAGCTGCCTTCTCCTCGGCTCTATTCTTCTTCCCACTTATTTTTGAACTCCTCTCTTTTTAAGTATTAACATGAAATATCCACTGTGAATTAATCCACATGATTAATTGTGTGAATAACATGTGAATTAATCCACATGTGAAGCAAATCCACATGACTTTGGACTTGGACACCAGAGCCAGTCTAGGGCTTATTCCCTTCATTCACCTGGCGCAAGGCGCTGTCCAGCTGCTGCTTCCTTTGATCTGTTTTTTCCAAAATATCCTGCCAGCGTTGATTTAAGATTTTGAGCTTGTACTGGAGGTTGCTTGCTTCTTCTCCCGCGCTCGAGGCAATTAGATCATTTCCTGCTCTGTTGACCGCTTCTACTGTGGACTGGTGGGCTAAAACGTCATTTTGGAGCACCTGAAAAAGTCAATATGATGATTAGCTGCAAACACAGTAATGGTCCTTATAATGCTTGCTTGGTTTTTTTTTTCCTTTTTCTGGCAAGGAAAGGGTTTCATGTATTCCAAGCAAACCTTGAACTCAACAACAGCTAAGGAAGACTTCAAACTTCTAATCCTTTTCCACCTCCCAAGTGCTGGTAGCACAGGCGTGGAACAGCACAGGTAGTTTTAGGTACCACCGAGGGATCAAACCTAGTCTTCATGCGTGCTAGGTAAGGACCGTACAGCTGAACCACACCTCTAGTCCATCATACTTGCTTTATTTTCTGGTTGTGAAATATTCCGAAACAAAAACCTTGTAACAAAGTTTTAATAGCAAGTTTCTGCGACAGCTCCCTTTCCTTCAACTTTTGTGGCTTCCTAGAGAGATACACCTTTAGTTAGATACACTTTTAGTTTATCTACACCAGTCGTCCTACAGGGACGTCCAAACACTGACAGGTATTCTCCCTAGAAGGACCTTGTGACTGATGCACTGCATCCTTTTGTAGAGATTATGACTAGACGATGGAAGCATTTCCATTGATTCAAGTCAATTTTAGTTTAATTTAATATGAAGGTTTGAAGGGATATTTTTATTCCTATATATTCATTTTCCTAATATAAAATTATCACATACCTACCTTAAGACACATGTTTTATAATTACCGTTTTGAAAGGAGAAATACAATCCTTTATTCTCTCGTGGAAGGGAAGCAAGGACTACTAATTTGAAAGGAGTCCTTTCCCTTACTTTAGTCAGGAGGTCATCAGGGCACCACCGTACACTCCCTGACGTATGCTTGGCAGTAATAAAGAAAAGGATGTCATCTCTTATCCTATGCAAGACATCACACATCTGGAGGGGAGTCCAGACCCGGGAGGCTCTCCAGATAAGGGAGGCAGTCCCCGGAGGACGGCCTTTCTGACTGTTCAGTCTGTTTCTGAGGTACCCGGTGAGTCAGTGTTTTCCAGAGGCACACAGCCAGCTGAGTGAGGAGTCAGTTCTGCAGAGCACGCACCCTGACATGGTCAGAGCGGGGAACACTTCCTCGAGGCCTGAGTTAGACACTGCCAGTGCCTACACTGACAGGACGGTTCTGTCAGGTTCCTTCCGGTTCCTTCCGCTAACGCTCAGAGGCAGGGGAGACCATGAGCACAGGATGGAAACTTTCTCTTAGCATTGGTTTTGGTAACCCCAAGTCACTACACAACGATCTTTCAAAAATGAGGAGACAAAGGCAAAACAGCTATTTCGAACGAGTCAGATGAACAGATCTCCCGACTAAATAACCAGACTGGGTGTCTTATTTTCACCCCTATTACACACAATTCTGACTGCTGACACAGGCTGCTTTTAAGACAATTGCCAGATTTCTAAGACGTAAAAGCTTCTATACACTCACATCGTGAGACAAACATATTGTGTTTTGATGAAGAGTCATCCTGGCAAGCAACTGTTGTTCCCGGGACCAGAGGCATTAAAAGCCGTGGTAGAAAACAACATTTTCAGCCTGCATGTTTTTAGGCTATTCACCACTTAGCCATGTCAAGCAATTTAATGCCAAATAATCTCTGTTAAAATCATAAACGTGGAAAACCCCGACATAAAAATAGCAGGCAGGGACGGTACGTACATGATGCTTGGCGAGTTCAATTTCAATGGCTTTCGGGTCTCCTCCGACGGGTTTCTGTTCACTCAGCAGGCCCTTTGTGTGTGTCAACCACGCCAGGAGCTCATCCAGGGCGTGCTGGAACTGACCCAGCGCCAAGAGAGCGCCCTCCAGCTTGTGCTGCCAAGAAGCAGAGGAGAAAATCCACTTAGAATCTGACATGAACGATGCGCCCTTCCAAAACAAAGGCAAAACACCAACTGCTTGATGCTGTCCGAGTCCATCCGCATGGCTCGTGAATCTAGTCCTATCTGTAATCAAATCAACAAGTCTAGTTTGAGATATAACACACACACACACACACACACACACACACACACACACACACACACGGGGTTAAATGTGGCACAAAGGGGGGAATTTTAATAAGAAAATTTAGATGCCTCTAAAGGTTATTGCTATTAACTGCTAGTTTGACTTTCAATGGCTGTTTTACATCGCTGAGAGTGTGCACACTGACGTCTGGCCCGAGGGCTGGCCCTCACCTGTCTGCTGACGATTCTCTCGTCCAGGCTATCCCATATCAACTTCAGCTCCATCAGCGGGTCTTGAACACTGTGCTTGTCACCCTCCTCTGTGACTTTCTTCAGCAAAAGTTCCGCTTGATGGTTCAGCCTTTCCATTTCTATCTGCTGTTGATATGCCTCTGACTTAAATTGCTGTGAAAAAAAAATACAGTAACATTTAAAAAAAAATCAGTAACTTTAAACCAAAAATATTCTAAAATTCACATTTCTTACTGAAAGCAAAAGTGGTAGACGGTTCCCTTCTTTATTCGATGTTTTATGAATGGTTACAATTTTGGTGTTTCATTTTTAGTCTGTGCAATAAAATTTAATGAATCCCATGGAGAAACTTCTTATAATATTTCATATTACATTTTATATTTTATATGATTTTATTTTAATGAATGTGAAATCCCAGAAATAATGACTTTAAGAACTTTAGTAATTCCTATTCTCAAAAAAGTACACATTATGTACTCTCTCATAGTTTTTATGTTTTTACAGCTGTTTTATATTTATTAATAATTATTTATGCCTTACTGTTGATGAAAAATAAATTATTACTATTATTACTAATACTACTAGCAAGCAAGGGCCCCGCTGTGTAGCTGTGGGTGGCCTTTACCACTATTAATTCATAGCCATCTTCTCAGCTCAGCCTCCCAAGTACGGGGACTCCAGATCTGAGCTGCACATGTGGCTGTACAATAACACCCTTCCCTGGTCTTCCTATATGACCTTTGTTACGCCAACCAACATTTTATCAACAATAGAAAATATTTATTTGAATCTCTGATGCTAATTAACTGTTAATATTATAGCAATATATCAATTATGCTAATTACAACAGACTACTGAGGTACATTATAACAGTCTCAATAGCACAATCCAAATCTGGCTCTCTTCCTCTACACGCACATACCCTCCACTAAGATATGAGGGTACCTGAAGAGCTGTATATCAAATCCTAGGCATAGTTGCTTTTAAGTATATAGCTTTTGGAGAGATTTACTTGTCTTGTTTTCCCCCTTTTTTGCTTATTTATAGTTCTATAAAGAATAGGTATTAAATAAAACAATCCTTCATTTTTTAAAAAAAACCCTTATCTAAACCTACTACATGCAGATATTCTAACAGTTGTAGGGCCTGTGAAATCGCTCACTGGGGTACGGAATTTGCTACCAACCCTGACAACCTGAGCTTGATCCTCAGGATCCACGTGGTGGGAGAAGAGAGCTGCTGACTACAAGTTGCTCTCTGCCCTCCTTACATGTGTGGCACACTTGCGTGCAAACACAAACACACAAATAAAAACATGCAATAGAAATAAATAGTACAATCTTGAAGTCAATAATGTTTTAACTATGCAAACTAAATAAACTTAAGTGAGAAATCTGATGAACCAGTAACTTAAAAATATAAGCGGTTCTTCACCAACCAGGAGCCCCACACGTACCTTCAGCTCTTCAATCTGCTGCTTGACAGTCTCAAGGTCCGTTCCAATTGGAGACATTGAGGCTAACTTGTTGCCTGCGATATCAACCCAGTCAAATATTGCCTGAAAGATAGATTTCCCATGTTATCACAGTTGCTCTGAAATGGCCAAGCTTCTGGGGTTATGGGAGAAGGCAGTAACTAGAGAAATTATGAAAGGCGCCTACTTTACAAAACTAAGATAGTTGTCACTATGGTTCAGCTCACCTTCCTATACTACCTAGATTAACATTAAAATCCTGGACATACAGGTGGTTAAGAGTCCGTGAACTGCAACAGGCTTCAGAGCCCACTACTTTCTACATTCTTCCTAGGTTTCTACACATTATACACAGGCTTATTGCACCTTTTTTTTAAAAAAAGGTAATGAATGTATATCCAAATAATTTTACATTTTGATGAGACTGACAGGAGAAGAGAAACCTTACAAACAATCTGGTCTATTTAAATGACATTAACCAACCCTAATCACTTAAGCAGCAACTTGGGAAGGAAAAGTATCTCACCTTATAACCAAGCCTAGCACCGTATGGAGAACCTAGCACCATATGATAACTACAGCCATTCAGTAACCCAAGTTGCCATTTATGACCCACAGGACTTATGATGGAGTTTATGTGTCTTGCTGTTGGTGAGGAGTCTGTATCAAATCATGGTGCTTTGCTCAAGGCTCTCAGGTAACCTCACATATTTAGTAGTACCATCTCTAGCCATGGGAGACAATGTCACTCAAAAGACTTGTCATTATGACGCATCCTTACACAGTGGGAGTCCAATGTAGCTATCACCGGCCATAGGTTATTTAAGCAAGAAAGCCTTACTTTGCTTGGGGTGGGGTGTGTGTGCAAGTGCACACACACATACAGGAGTTATGACAAGATGTTTTATGTCATTAAAAATTTAATGTATTTCCAAAGTTCAAAACCCTTTATGCTGAGATAAAGCCTGGCTGGTGATATTTACAGGATGAAGTGACATGAAGAAAAAGGAAAAAATGTTCTCATGTGAGCTTTAAAAATAATATTCACTTAAGTGTTATGGAAATACTTAAGAGAGGGTTTTTCCATGTGGTAGGGAGTATGAAAGATTAAACTCCTGCCAACCTGTTAGGAAAAAGGACACGGAGGGAGGTAAAAAGGAATATCCCTGAGCTGGCCTCAGGAAAACTTTAGTATTAAAAGACCAGATTCTATCTGGCTAATGAACTGGGTGAGAACCTTGAAAGGACAAGAAACAACTACTGTAACAATCATATAGAGAAGAAGGCACCGCGCTACACCCAGTTTTGAGTCAATAAAATAAAAATCTATTTTAGTACACAGAGAAAACACAGCTTCACGTCGGTTCTCTTGAGTTCTGACATCAGTTAAACTTGGCGATATTTTTAGCCCATGTTTATTCCTTTCATCCTATTTCACTCAACTTCAGGACAGAATTCAGACTCTGTTCCATGGCACTTCACTGCCTGGTGCCCAACGATTTTGAGAAATTCTGTGCAGGAACATTTACTCTTGCTTAAAAAAAAAAGCCAGTAGACTACTTCTCTTCAAAGGAAATTCCACTAATGTGTGTACAAATCCATGTTTACATAGAAATCCATAGGTCTGAAAGGTAAGAAATATCTTCTAAAAAGGATGAGTTGAAGTAGCTGTGGCAATTACAGGAATAGATCGTCTGCAATCGCGCCCAGCCACAGGGTTGGGCTGGTACCAAAGTACAAACGCACCAATAACATTTCCTGTTTCCAGCTGAGGCCAGCCAGCGGGCACAAAATCCATCTCACCTGCAATCCATCTTGGTACTGAACGGCAGCTTGCATGGCCTCGTCCAACTTGTCAACCCGGTCTTTCCAGGCTTTGTTTAGAGAATCCCAAGCTGAATTTAACTACAAAACAAATTGCAATCCTTTGAGTGTCAGATGTATGATTTTAACTATTAGTAACAAACATGTTAGTCTGTTAGGTCTTGAGAAAGAAACTCTTATGAAAGTGGAAAATATGTCACCAGTACCTCATCTATACTTTTCTTGACAATGGGCTTATCAGGGTCCCCACATGCAGCGATGAGCTCAGAGCCCAGGGTGATGACCATGTCGAGCTCCTCTTGCAGTCCATCAATTTCCTCTCTTATTGCCTAGAATTCAAAACAGAGCCTCAGAACACCATGTAAAACCACATCAGAACCAGGAAAAGACGCCACCCAGAGCTAGCTGTCCACAGGGATCCCTAGGTGAGATTAGCAGCGTTCTGTTTCAGTTCCCAAGTTCATACAGTCATTTTCTCAACAAAAGTAAACAAAACAAATATTTTAGGGAAAACAATATTCTCTAACACCAAATCTTTACTAATAAAGACAAAATACCAGAGCAATTTAAAAAAATATCCCCAATATAGTGAAGCACTGGATGACATTTTGTTTTTCACAAGTAGCTTGCCTGTATGTGTTCAAAACAGACACCAGTAAAATAGGAGCACAAAGATTTTATGCCAAGTAATGTGTCAGCTGGGAAACTCATGGTAACCTAGCTCTGAAGTTCACGGTGTGTCATTACCCAGGCTGATCCATCACAAGAGAAATGAAGCATCCTACCTTGCTTTTCACCATCGTGGTTAAATACACCCACTTGGCAACGAATATTTAATGAACATGAATGAAGCCCTAAATCAAACACTGGAAATGGAAATATTTGCCTAGCCTTCTCCAGGGCCCCATAGCCCAGTAGGCGGTTCAGGTAAATATACAACAAAATAAGTGTATGGGGTGGGTGCTAGCCTAACCAAATCGCGAAGCCTACTGCAGCAGTGGCAGAAATGACACACTGAGGCAAGGAGATAGACTGTGCAAGGCTTCAAGGACACCAAAAAGAGCACAGAGGTGAAGGAACAGCAGAGTGGGGTCTGTGGCCACAGGGGCACCAGCCGGCGTGAGCAAAGCTGGTAGAAGGCCTGGGTAAGGTCAGGGCTCCTTACCCACCAGACAGTGGGGCACCTGAGGGCCTTGACTCAGCAAGACAGAGACAGGAAGACGTTTAGAGGCTGGTGAGGGCAGACACCCTGTGCCCTGCACCAAGTGTGAGCAGTGTAGGGGCAGAGACATGATTTTAAGAGCCACCTTCAGGTGACATCTGCATGTCCATTATATCTTGGTACTCACCGTGCATTCACATTCAGAACCAATGCAAATTTTAACAGCATGACTTGTTCAGTCATATACAAGATCAGGTGTTAACATGCACAACTTTATGGGTTTTTTTTTTTTTTTTTAGTTGAAATGAGTTCTGTCCCTTACCTCAGCTGCTTCCTGCTGTTGTTTTACTACTGAGGGATCAATCCCAGGATCTTCCAGGTCCCGGATGAAATCTTGAGTGTCTTTTATGGTAACAACCAATGACATGTGATCACACCAGAATTTCTCTGCTAGTTCCATAACATCCAGCAATTTGGCTTCCCTTTCTTCCACCAGTGTGTGTATGTTTTCCCAAATGAAAACCATTTGGTCCAACTTATCCTGCACGGCTACACAGCAAAACAATTGTCAGCAAAGATGCAGGTTATCCTCATAAAAGCAAAAGCAAAACTTTAGCTCATACAGCGAACAGTTACCTGATTTGCTAAATACATAGAACGGGAACAGGTTCTGACCAACTGCAGTCTATGCATTATCAACAGGCCCAAACCTATCCCATACAATGCCAAATCTATAGTCCACTCTCTCCGAACCAAGACTTTTCCTTACAAAAGTAGATACTTAAAGCTACATGAGCTCAAGAAGACCCAATTTTAAGCTCATGAAGCTGGCCTTCATCTCAAAGACAGTAAGGAACTAACCTAAGATAAGTAACTAATCTGAGATGTATTTTCTTATGCTCTCTCCAAGGATGAAAATGCTTGCTCAGACCCAGGAACAGGACAAGGATTTATACTTCTGGCTTGCTTCTGGAACACTCTTGTTTTCACTTTATACACACCCTTCCTCTGACTCACAGATCACAGCTCTAATATGAGTGGCTATGGTTACCATTCTGGTGGTTATGGGATGGAGCAGGCATGCTAGCTATGATACTAAAACTGTATCCCCAGCTTTGGCTTATTAGCATTAATTTCAGTCTGGGAGCCTAAGAGGCTCAGAGAACATATGGTCTTTATGTAAACACATTTTGTCTCCAACCAATTGATTTCACCAACTGAGGAGGGCATCAAAGGACTTTCATACAGTGACACATCACTGTGCAAGCTTCCCAGAGACCTGGCCATTTGCTGTGCAGTCAGGCTGGCAGCGGACAGCGTACAAATCCACAGCTGTTTTAAAAGTTGAGACTGGGCGTGGTAGCGTGCCTTCAATCTCAGCACTTGGGAGGGAGAGGCAGATGGGTTTCTGGGAGTTTGAGGCCAGCCTGGCCTACATAGTGAGTTGCAGGCCAGCCAGTGCTACATAGAGGGAGACCCTATGTAAAAAACCAACCAACCAATCAAACAAAGAAACAAACGAACAAAGGGACGCTGAGCTTGCTTCCTCACTCCAAAATCACTACCTTTGGCAGATATGTCCTTCTCGGCACCCTCGGACCTGGCAATCATCTCCTCGCCCCTCTGCCTCAGGGTCTCGTACAGCGGCTGCAGCTTCTCCATGTCCACAGACACACTCTTGTTTTCACCAATCTGCTCCTTGATCTTTTCAACCTCAGCAGAGATGGATGGCGGCTGCCTTAGACGCTCCACGATGCGCTCCAGGCTCTCAAGGATCTGGTCGATCTTGTCATGAAACTACGGGTAAGACAATGGGGTCACTGTCCTGCTGCCTGGAGCATTTCCTTCAGCTAAAAGCTGAAGCCCCTCCGCCAACACTTCCAGCTGGTGTATGAAGCCATGCCTAAGGTCACGACCTCGGTGCACTTCTGTATGACACGCTTAGGAAGAGAGCACTGAGTCTCCCATCAACAATTGAATGTTTTCATTAAGAAACAGTCTACACGCCTTAGCAGCAAAATAAATCTTCATCTGTTGCTTAATTTTTTTTAACCACAATTCAACTTCTTTCTTTTTTTTGATAAGATGCACATTTGGCTGTCAAAACTGATGATTCATTTAAAACGAGCATTTCGAAATCCTAAAACATTATACAAGTGCATGCAAAATTCATAGGTGGCACTGATTAGATTCAAGGGATTCTTTGAGTTACATATTTCCTAAACTGAAAAAAATATGAAATTAAACAAAATAAAAATATGTCCAATGTTGTACCCAATTCACGCAAATAAATATACAATTAGATATAGGAAATAATTTTATATTTATAAAAGCATGATACACAATTACGCAATGTTATAAAACTATGTTTATTCTTAAATGCTACACTAGTGTCAAAGTTGAGTGGACCCACACTGTCCTAGTTAGTTCTAACTGCCAAACTGAGACAACCTAGCATCATCTGAGAAGGGAGTCTCGCTTGAGGGATTTCCCAGATCAGATTGGCCTGTGGGTATGTCTGTGGACGACGGTCTTCACTGGTAATTGATGATGGAGGGAGGGCCCAGTTCACTGAGTGGCTCCTTTCCTGCGCAGATGGCCCAGGGCTGCAGAGGAAACCTGGCTAAGCATGGGCCTTGGAGGAGGCCACCAAGCTGTGTTGTTCCCTGGCCTCTGCTTCAGGTTCTGCTGAGCCCCTGCCCTGCCATCCCACAAGGAGGGACTGGGACCTGGAAATGTAAGAAGAAACAAACCCACTCCTCCCTACACTGCTTCTCCTCAGAGTATTCTCCTGCAGCCACAGAAGGGAAACTGGAACACACACTTGGGATTACAGAAAATGCCACCCCAAAGCCAGTATCTAACGGTAAAAAGCAAAACTTTGAAAATGGTAAACCTGCAGGTATGCAAAAAGTCAGCTTCTTAGAAAATAGTATTTACAAAAACTCTGTTTCCTACTTAATATTCTTATCTTCTTCTTTTCTTTGCTCATTGCTCAGGGTTTCCTCTAAATGTTTTCTTAGAAATATTCTATCATTAATGGCTGTAATAGTTTCTTTTCTCTCCCCAATGTCAAATACTGCGTTCTCCTTATGATGGACACTGAAGCAAGTACCTGACCTTTGCTCCCAGTAGGCATCCTACTCGCTGTTTTATTGTACCCTGAAGCAGGCAGAGAAACCTAAGAGTTGGCTGCAAGCAAATCCCACCTCTGAGAGCAGAGGCACTATACTCAGAGACAATACAGTCTATATATCACCAGAGATGGAATTTAATCAGAGGGTCCAGGAAAATGCTTGGTAGGCTTGGCTGTGGGAAGAAATTAATGTTTTCCTAGCGTAAAGGATTACCTGAGTTGACTGAGAAATGGCTTCATCAAGAACCACAGCTCGCTTCTTGACATCTTCTTTAATTTGGCTGTAAAGGGTGTCAGCGGCCACATACTTCTCCTGGATACGAACGCCTTCCTTTGGGCTCAGCTCCAGCAACTGTGGCCCGGTCTTGTTCATCTTATCTATGTGCGGCTTGTGCTCTGCGATCAGCTCTCGCAGTTGCTATAATAAACCAAACAGCTTCTCAGTACCTCAGAGTCACACCTCCATGTTACAGCTGATCCCATCTCCAACGCACCCAGCCAACAAGACATGCTAAACAGAAGCCCTCCATGCCTCTGCAAGGAGGAGAAGCAACTGTCCAGTCACAAACAAGACGGCACTAAAGCAAACAGCGGCCCATTTTCACAAGAGCATCATGTCATCTGCAGGAAAGGTGTCTGAACGCCTTGGCTGGGCCATTGCTTACGGGTGCTGCTTACTGCACACTCATAATACATACAGAAATGATTGTGGGAAGGGACATCGAGATTAGGAAGAATCTCGGGGGGAAGAAAGACACAATCCTGGGATTTTAAAAACCTCAAGATAGAGAGGTACGGGAGTGCCCTGAGCCCACAGGTACCCCATTCACACATGTGTGAACCAGTATTAGATGGATACTTGTATATATTACATTATATATGTATATTAGAACCTAGTCTATATACATATGACATAGAGACACTAAATATATCAATTCATTTCTGTTGGTTATTTTATTACAGTTATTTGTGTGTGTATGTGTAGTTATAGGTAAGGCCATAAGCTGCCATGTGGGTGCCATGTGCTCTCGAAGAGCAGCAAATGCTCTTAACTGTAAAGCCATCTCTCCAGCCCCCTATTTATTACTGTAAACTGCTAAAGTTTCAAAGGTAATGGGCTTATCAAACACACAACCACATGTTGAGCATGATTATTAAGGTACATTTAAAGAAAACATGTATCGTGAGAAACGCTGCTGACTGAGGGACACGTGGTATTTGCACTGGGAGAGGAGCTGGAATTCAAGTGGGGCCACTCCTGTTAAGCTGCTGAGGTGCTGGGAGCTGGAATAAAGCTGGGACCTCTGAAGAGCAGTACTTCATGGGGCCACTCCAGAACCATTCCCACGGGAGCCTTTCCTTTAGAGACTCTCAGGTCAGACTCTTAGGAGGGAGGGCTTCCACTGGCCCCTCGTCAGCATGCCCTTGTCCTTAGGAGTTGAGCTCCAATCTGTTGCACTCCAGCCACTAGCAGGAGCTTCCGAGAGGGCTCACGCCCAGGAAAGGCAGTCTAGAGAGAATTTACGGGGGTTTGATGCTTTAAGGTTGTTCTGAAGGGCTACTGAAGATACTCTACACATGAGCTCAGTTATAAAAGCGCACGTGGCAAAGTCTTAGCTAATGTGCTGTGTCGCAGAAAGGACGAGGCAATGGCTCCGTCAGCCAACATGAAATGACACGGAAAGGAGAGCTGACGATGTCAAGCACGTTCTTCTTTTGCACTGCAGAAGGCAATGCTTGGACAATAACTCTGAACCCAACAACCAAGACGCTCAAGGAAAATGCAAGACTTGAGCTGAGGTCTCTTGACCTGCCTGGCCAGCTGGTCGGTGCGGCGTTGCTGAGGTGACTTAACCTGGGGGCAGTGTGACGAGCCTTTTGTATGGCATCCCGTGACAGGCCAGAGAACATTTGTTAGGTGCCTACTTGGACATGTATGTGCATGAGCAAATAGCCTTTGCCTGGGTGTGGTGTTATACACCTGTAATTCCAGCAGTCAGGAGGCTGAGGCAGGCGGATGGTGAGCCTGAGGCCAGTCTGGTCTACACAGAGAGAACTTCTCTCAGGGGTGAAGGGGTGGGCAAATGGAGACCACATGACTTTGCCTCACATGTAACCAAATAATTCTTGAGGCCGTCATGCTAGAGAGATTTCACACGACTGAAAGGTCTATAACACTTGATAACACAGCCTCTGGAGGCTGTTTTCATTTCTAGATAGGTTTTCCCTCATCAGTAGATCTGGAGTCAGGAAAAATGCTTTTATAGGGGGCTGTAAAAACTATTCAATATGAAGACTTTGCAGACACATAAGGCTACAGAGCCATGTTTGTGTTGCCAATTCAGGTTATGCAAAAGAGAAAATCAACTCTATATTAAGGTTTGAGCTACCGAGCCATTTCTCATCACCAGGTATATTCTAAAAGCAGTCTTTTGAATCGCCTGTGACAGAGATGTTCACGGTCCATTTTACACTAAGAGTCATTTGATGAATGGTGGCCAGGATCTCTGGTACAACAAACCTTGACACTTAAATTAAATTCAGTTTGAGACCATATTTAAGTCTTCTGCTAGTTGAATGATTTGGATAAGGCTCTGTAAACATTTAGTTTTGCCTTAAACTACTTGTATATCTGAGTAAGTGCTTCCACTAGAGACAGTCTTCCATGCCAGCGTGCTAAAGAACACAAACAAGATCAACAGGCAGGAGCCGGACCCTTCGCTGCGATTGCAGAGGAACTGGTTTTGATTCTCAGCACCCACATGGCAGCTCAGTTCCAGAGTGTACAACACCTTCTCCTGGCCTCTGACTGTACACGTGTGGTGCCGACATACACGCAGGCAAAAGGCGCCTATATACAGAATGAAAATAAATCTTTAAAAAAGTACTAAATTTATCGTGCCTTCTAAAAGATATGTAACATATACTAGGCGATTCTCACCTCCTCCTGATTAGTCTCCGAATACACTGCGTACAGCTCAAGGAGGACAAATATGTTCTTAAGCCCACAAATATAAAGAACTCCAGATCTTCTTCCGAGACTTGAACCCTCTCCCAACCAAACTCTTCTAAGTGTCAAGTGACATTAACAGTTAAGTGACGGCTAGAGGGACGATTCCATAATGCCAGAGTTCCGTTTCCCTTTCATATAATTAGGTCACACCTTCACTGTTTGACATAGTGGAGATGGTGATGGCCCCTTAACAGCCAGCATGGAATCACACTATCTCATCTCGATTCTTAGCCCCCAACCTATGCTGATACTTCAGCCGGTTTCCTCTCTATAGCTCTCGTGACATGGTTGTTCTGACAGAGGCATGCATTGCCCATTTTCTTCAAACTCAACGGCTGTGTATGTATGATGGTTCTTCTGTACACCTCTACTCTACTTTTTAATATTTTAGATGGCTCTGGTCACGACATACAAAGCATAGACTGTATTCAGCGTATGTGCATGGAACGCTATTCAACATACATAAACTGAAAGCATCTCAAAAGCTCATGTGGCTAACATTTTAAAAATGGTATTCTTTTTCCTCCCCAGACGGGATAAAGTACACACTGCTGCAGGAAAGCTGTGATGTCTGCGGTGTGTGACAGCTACCCGGCCGTGAGGCAGTGCAGACTGCCCCGCAGCATTACAGACGCCCCAGTGCTGTTTGTGTCTGACATCACTAAGCACGCCGCCGTCAGGACCGCTGCCGTGTTAACGGCTCACGCTCTAGCTCTCACCCGGTGCTCTTCCTGTTGCCGTCTCAGAGTCTCGTATTCCAGGGCTGGGGCAGGCAGCTGGGAGATGATTCTCTGTGTTTCTTCCAGCCATGGCCAAAGTTCCTCGTATGTCTCCCAGAACTGGCTAACGAGGGACTGTGCCCGCTCCAGCTGCAGGTGCCTCTCTGAGTTTATCTGGCAGATGGCATCATAGTTCTTCAATACCTTATCCAGTTTTTTCTAGAAAACAAGATGAGGAAGGGTGCTCTCCAGGCTGGAAGTTGAAGTTCAGGATGCTCTGACTAGTTCTGTACATGTGACACAGAGCAGGGACACGGCAAATATACGCGAGATAAATAAATAAAAGAAACCTGTTCGGACTGACTGCTTCTGACGCATGCGTGTTAAAGGGGCACCTGAATATTTATGCAGAGTCACTGAATTCTGCAGACGTAGTAAAGCAGAACTCTCGGGTACTCTTACACTGTTCTCCGCGTTAGAAAGGTAAGTTTCACACACGTGGACCAGCATTGACACTATTATCTGGAGAAAAGGGAAGATTATCTTTTAAGAATGAAATCAAAAGGACAAAAAAAAATTAAAAATAAAATCGAGGGTGTGCATGGGAATCGCAGTGGCCACCGTGCTCTGCATGAGCTGTGAGAGCAGGGATTGAGAGTGCAATGCGAGCTCACAACAGAGACCAGAGCGGCACAAAGGCTGACCGCCCGATATACCACAAGTCAGAACAGGAAACATTTTGTGATCATCTGTGTTTTTTATTTCTGAATCCTAGAAAAATCATACTTAGCTCTAGACTAATAAACTGCCTTTATTTAAAAAAAAAGGAGAAAGAGAAAATATCATTATACTGTACAATCTGTAGTTTTATCTGTGGTCTACCTGAAAAGGAATGCATTTTTTTCTAAAATGTAATATAAGCCATGGATATTTGTCTGTCTTTATTTGGGGCCATACACTTACCCAGTAGGAGGAACACTCAGTCATTTCTGTAAGCTACTCAGATGTCCATATAAAGCTGAGCTAACCACTTGTACCTGAGGATGGTTTTCCATCAATCTGCACAATTATTAGAACCACATATACCCGTGGCTTCCTTAGCTATTACCTCATTGTTCTCCTACTGGCTTAGAGAAACTTTATACAGAATGAAGATCGATGTACTTTGGATTTTGTTTCAGCTTAAAAGTTGCAAATGCTCCAGAAGTGTATGGTCCATAGCTGACCTATCTCATAGGCATCGTAACAGTAACGCAGCTAACACTGATTGGACAGACTGAATGCTCAACGTGGGTTAGTCAAGGAACCTTTAACAGGGCAGAAGTATCAACACTGACTGTCCTCTGGGGGATGGGTTTCCATGGTTATTCAGTAACCTGAAAAGAGCCCTGATTTAAATGTCATGATTTTGCTGTTTAAACAGAAGCTGCAGAAACATACAAAGTGCCCTTCTAGAACACAGTGCTCAGCGGATACTATTCGTTTGACGGCCACTGCCTAGCATACGGACAAGGTGGTACCTTCATTGGCTGCTTTTCCTCTTCGCTGGAGGTGGTCATGATTTTATGCCCAGATTTAACAAGTTCATCAATAATATCCTTGTGTCTCAAAATATCCATGGTGAATGCCTGTGATTTACCAAACAAAGACAAAATACAAAGAAAAGTGTGTGATTCCGTGAAGGCAAGTGGGCAAAGTAGTTGAAAATAGCAAGCGACCCCGACAGGGTCTTGGAAAGGAAAACCACGTGAACGTATTTTCTAGACGTGGAGCCTGGAGACGCATAACTTAGACGGCAACTGGAAATGTATTTCCTCACCTTTTGAACCTGCAGCTGAGCACAAGTCTGGTCTTGCTCAAGCCTGATGTCACCCAGAGACATTAATTTCTTCTCTGTTTCAGTAATCCAGGATAGCTCAGCATCTGCCGCTTGCTCAAACTAAACAAAAGATTATAATTAAGTCAGAAAGTTCCTGTGGCTGGTGCCAGAAAAATTACCTATTTCTGTTGCTTCTAGATACTCCCTTTCCTAATTGGAGACTCTCAGTTTCTCCTTCCAGAGCACGCTAGACTAAATCACAAGTGGCTGAGGGATAGAGAGAGAACTCTGCTCTCAAGCTCTGCCGTCCTGCTGTATGGTCACAGGCACAGCACCGATGCAAAGATGGCTGGCTCTGTGGCCTTCTGTTACGGTGTCTCAGTTCCCAACATAACTGCTCTAAAACCTGACAATTAAATACCATTGCAAGTAATTTTTCATATGACTCCAATTCTCAGATGGGCAGATAGTACTGTGCCATCAAAGTACCTTGTTTCTGATAAAAAAATGAAAAATTTCCATTTCTTTATTGCACATGTTTATATATAAATGTGTGTGCAATATATATATATATATCTGTGTATGAAGAGTACACTCAAACAATTCAGGCATGACTTGTAAATATCTGATCTAATACTGAGCTTTAAACATGTACAAGATCATTCCTAAATGTTTCAGTTGTTTTTCTTCATCATTAATTCATAATTCATAACTCATAGGCATGGCAGAAAATTTTAAAGTACAGAAGAACAGAGAAAAGAAAATTAAAATCCAGAGTTAATATTATTGGTAATTCAGTGACTTTCCCCCAAGAAACTGCGAAAGTCAGACTTGCATGAACACCTTTATATTCTGCTTCTTTCATTTATTATGAATATTCCCCACATTTTGTTTTTGTCCCTTTGTGTTGTCAAAGCGCACAAACATTTTCAGTGTCCTGCATCAGATAAACTCTCAATGCCATTTTGAACCAAGCAGGGATCAAAAGGTGGGTGAGTAATACAATAGCCGCCAAGGATAAAGGTAAGCACGAGAGCTTTAGCTGGAAGAATCCATGGGAAATGGACACTGCAGCTTGCCAAATCCAGTACTGCCTGAACGCTCCACTTTCCAAGAGAAGCTGGGAATCAAAATGGGAGCAGAGGAGGATAATTAGGCAAGAAAAGAGAAGGGTGGGGCTGAAAAATAAGCTAGAAAATAATTCCACTTTAAGAGGATTATTAACATTAACACAACGTAAACACACGGAGAACTGGAGCAGACCAAGTTTCCTCATTCTAAGATAAGTAAAGGTAAAAACGCCAGCATGACATACAGAACGCTCCTGCAACGTTCTCTGCTTCCTCTGAAGAGGAAGGCAGAGTGTCTTGGACCTGGGATCTTGAGGATCAACACCCAAGAAGGTTATTTTTTGCACCTCACCTATTCAAGATTAAGTACAAAAAAATAAAGAGCCCCTACACACCAATGCATACAGATGCAAGCCCAGGAGAGTCCAGTTCTCTCTAGCCAAAGGACATGGTGTGGGGGGGGGGGGCAGCCTAGCGAGGCAGAAAATAGACAATTCTCACTCCGAATCAATCAAATGCCAGAGTGAAATGGCAGCCCCACTCACTCAGGCCGAGAGGTAGCACAGGGAGCCTGGGATTTCACCCTCGAGTCTGCGACAGTGTTCCTACGCTACCATGCCTGGCCAGTACTGTTCTCTTTAAGGGTGGATATTTTAATATTTTAGGTTCCAGACCAGCGATATAAATCTGATTATTATTGTTAAATCTTTGGGAAACACTTGCATACATTTTTGACTACAGCTGATCTGTAGTTAGTGCTTAAGCAAGCTCCAATGCATGCTAACCAATATGATCTCAACCTGTAATTCAGCCCGGATCTGCTTCATATCACCCAAATAACTGAATACAGAGAACCGTGCTCTCAAAGGATGGAATATTTGCCTTATTACTCAGAGAAGGCTTTGGTGCCAGCCCTGGGATGTTCAAATAAATTTTAATGGAAAAAGTATTTTAATAGAGTTGAATAAACTTCATAAGTAAATATGCCCACTTTCCTACAACAATGAGGCATACAAATTCCTGCAAGCTGCAAAACAGGCAGGCAAACACATTCCTCGGGCATGAATGCGCCTCAGAGAAACTTCCTAGGCAGGGCCTTGCTATAGTGTTTCTCCCAGCAGCCTTTGTGAGCCTCGCCTACTAAGTACGGGGAGAGCGCGAAGCTTCAGAACCTACAAACTACAGTTACAGATGCTAGAAAAGCAACTTCGGAGACTCTCTCCCACAGTCTGCTTGTGCTTCCTGCTTTTGCATGGTGTGATGGAAGAGGTTAGTCACACATCTCTTGCTTGAGGTACCCGACAAAACCATGGAGCCCCAAAACCAAGTCTGCAACCCAAACCCGATGACTGGATGTAAGCAGCACGGAGATCTCACTGGGGCTAGACAATGCACAATCAACTTCTAGGCCGCTGCACTGTCCACCGCTTTCCCGGGCTGTGGCTAACAGCAGAATCCTCTGAAACTTTGGAGTAGAAAACCGTGTGAGCCACAGACAGGTCAGAAACTATCATTTCCCCCCTTTTAGTCATCCTTGGAAAAAACTCTACGTCACCAAGAAAACTTTTTCCTTTCAAAAACAAAGGCTTTTTCTTTGCTATAGCAGCATGCCAGGGAACAGTTAACACTGACCTATATGCTAACTCCAACTATTTACTCACAAATCCATAAGGCTGAGTCTAGGCATAACACTAGTATGAGCAATATGCACATGCAGATACAAAGCATTCTGTTCGGAAAGCAGGGCTTTCCTGTGTGGCAGGGTGCTGCTGTGATGTAATGGGGGCAGATGGTTGCTGGCTATATGCAGATCAGCAGCGCCCCAGTGCTCAGATGCAGCCCAGCCAAATTCTATTAAAATCTCAGAGTTCATCTCTGAAGCACAGTAATCAGAATGGAAATACGGCACTAGTCATGTTTGTTCAGGTAAAGACCCGGGCAGTTGGAGGACGTCTGTTGCCTAGACAACAAGATACTGGTCCTACCTGCTGAGACCGCAGAATGGCAGCATTGATCTCTTCTACTTTCTGAGTGATGGTGTCGTTCACCAATCGGTAGCGCTCGTTGTCCTCGGCTACCATTTTCTCAAGTCCTTCTCTGGCCCTCCAGGGTACTAGTTCCAACAGAGCGCTGCTCACTTCATTAAGGGAGTCTAGTAAGGCTTTGTTGCTCTTAACTTCTTTTTTCAGTTCCTTGAAAACATACACACATATGGGTAAAGGTTCTGGCAGGCTCTCCTCTGATCTTGGGGGTCCTCTGTTGGCTAACAAAGCTGTACTTGGCCTGGCTAGTTCTCTCTGAGCTAAACAAACCTCCATTATTTATAGCTATTTTGCAAAAAATGAAAGTGTTTCCAGAGACGTTTAGAGAACAGTTCCTTTGTCAACATGGCAAGACTGTATCTTTGAAATGGAAAATAAATATTTACAATTTGGAAAAACAAACCCAACAAGTTACTATGTAAGTGATCAGGTAACAAGGATAAAACAAGAAAGCTATCTCACTCCTGAGGAATAGGGCTTGCAGGGAGGGCATGCTGGGATTGCACCTCACCAACCCCCTTTACCACAATGAGATCTGAAAAGAACGCTTGGAAAGGCAGTGTATTTTTGTGATGTTGCCAGAAAACCCACCCGTGCCACCCATCTCTGACAGAAATGCTTTTCCAACCAAATTACAAATCTCTCAAACAACGGTCATCTTCTTTTTCTGTTTTTCCTTCTTCATTTTTCTATCTTGGGCAGGAAACCATATTCCCAGAGTCTTAAAGCACATGAGTCTTAAATCAAACTATACGCAAACTATACACTCTTTCTGAATAGTCAACTTACTGCCTGCTTCCACCCAGCCCCGCCCACCAAGACAACCTAACTGGGATCCTCACAGACACGCCCCTCGTGGGTGACAAATGCCTTCCTTTGAGAAGCACAGATGCATACTTTCTGTCTCTCTTGGGCTTGGTTTGAGGCTTCTCCTTTCAGGGTCTGAGTCTCATAGGAGAGCAACTCCACCTCCACCCCGTCCAGCCAGCGGCACAGCTCCTCGTGCGTGGACTGCAGCTGGGTGGCAAGCTGTAGAGCGTGTTCCAGGGTCTTCGCTACATCGGCGCTCAACTTGGTGATGTCACTGTACCGTGCTTTAATGGCTTCCAACTTATCTTGAATTATTAAAACTTCATCACCTAAAATTGCAAGACTTATTATTTCTGATAGAAGGATAAAAAGATGGGTAGGGAGTTTCTTTGGGGACTACTGATGATATGTTGGGGGAGGGGGAAGAGGAAACATCTTCCTAAAGATGATCTGACCCAAAAGATACTCTTACTTCTTCCTCAGGATTGCTAGCCACAAAATATCACTAAAATTAGAAAGGAAATGGCAAGGGCTAGAGAAACTTCGGTTATGTGTAACATTTTGTTTACCTTACAAAGCTGTCTGTCTTCAAAGAGTGAGGGCTAAAATCGCCTACCCTCAGGTCCCTGACTTATAAGCGGAGTTTCGTCAGGCGGGATGTCTAACCTTCCTGTGCCTGCTCATCACTCCTTGTTTCCACACTTCTGGGGATCTTTATCTGCCTCTCCTACCTTTGCAGGCAGACATCAACTATGCCCTAAGCTTCAGACTTCTGACTCAAAGGTCTAGATACTTTATCACGTCTTTAGTCACAATAATAGCTGCCCCGTGCGCACATGCACTGCTGAAATAGGTAAGGACTTTCCTATAACCAAAAGAATGGCTAAAATAACGTAGTTTCTCTGAGTTGCTCAAAAACCTCTCATGTAGATATTGGGCCATGCATCTGTTTTCTTGGTGGCGCAAGCTCGGAAAATGAAACCTACCTTAAAACAATACAACAAGAAAACAGACGTCTAAACCCATGTGTTCACCAGTCCTCCCACGGCGGAAGACTAACACAGCCACAGCGCAGGCTGCTCTGACTAGCTCCGATGCCAAGCACTGGATGCTATGAGTAATCCACACGGCGTTCACCAAGAACACAGTGAGATCACACATAAAACCCACTCGACTGACCTTCAAAGCTTTCTGCAGGGTGAAGCCTTAGCGCTGCCTCACAAAGTAGGGAATGTTCTGTCTCCCCACCCCCACTGCCCCCGCCCTTGAACTACCCGGGCAGCACTGCAGGCTGCTGGCTGTGGACACGCCAGAGGCATCTCACCTGTGGTTTGTTTGAGCAGCTCTAAGCCATTCAGCAGAGCCTGATCTACACTCTGTTTCCTGAGGAGGATGTCCTCTTGCAGCACCTAGGAACACAGGTACCATTGGTAGGGAAGCAGGGGGAAACCAAACTTACATCAGCAGCAGCACTCATTAGCCTCAGAGAGCTTCCACTGGGCTCTGGGGACAGACCTGGAGAAACATCTCCCACTTTGAAACGTCCGTTTGCCATTCCCTGTCTCTTCCCACCCATGCTCCACGCCCTGTGTTCATTGACCATGATTCACAGCGCTCCCCTTTTAGAAAACACCGAGGCCTTGTAAAAATTCCCTTTGTGGGGACACTGAAGTACTGCTTCATTATGGGCCCTTGAGTACAACGGTAATCACACTGAATAAGCAAAAGGCCAGCTAAATGGTTGAATTCAGTAACGTGTCAATTCAGTAACGTGTCATTAAAAGCACCCTGCACACGCAACAAAATGTCTATTGTGAGTATAATAAATCATAATGGACAGGAAATAAATACAACGAATAAAAATGAATAAATTAACAACAACTGAAATGAAAAAAAAAAGATAAAATAAATAAATGAAGATACCCGGAGTTCAGACTGCTGTTTCCACAGGGCCTCAGTGCTGTGATCCTGGACTGACAGCTTGCTCAGTTTGCCATGCACTTCATTCAGCCAGTTCATCAGCTCAACTTCGTCTTCCCCAAAAATCTTAGCATTACACAAGGCCTGCTGGAGGAGCTCAGACCTGCTGTGACTTTTCTCTTGAATCTCAAAGTACCACACTTGAGAGCAGTCTAGTTTACTCTGCACCATGTCTTTATCCTCCCTGGAGCTCAGAACCTTTAAGGACTGGCCGATGCTAACAGCCTGGTGTAAATGTTTATTGTGATTGATGATGTCATCCTCTAAAGCCTAAACAAAGTTCAATAAAGGGAAACAGAACAAAACAAAAAGAAATGGACAAATGAAAATGTAAACAGAACCAAAGGATGATTTAAAAATGGATTTAGTTTTGCAGTTATGCATAAAATAACAAATGTATGTCACAAAAACCATGAAGTAATAAAATGATGATAACGTGGGCCTCGCCGACACACGGCATCTTACTTTGTGCTGTGCAATCTGCTCCTCCAGCTTCGGTGCCTGGGTTCCTATGGGCTCAGAGTTTGCCAGTCTCTTTTCTATGGCCGTGAGCCACTCGTTCAGCGGTTCCAAGGCCTCGTGAAACTCCTGCGCTACCACCGAGATGCCTTCCAGCTGGCGGTTCCTACACATTTGCCGAGACACAGGTCAGTTAGGGATAGAGAATGGGTAACATCGCCAGCGGGTGTTTTCAGCCACGCTCCTTCCACTCTATTCTGAATGTGGCTTTAAAGACATCAACTAAGGCTAAGTCTTAAAATGCAGACATTTAAAGGACAGGTTAAAATAGCTCTAAATAAACGAGATTAAACAAGACATACAGCACGTAAACATGAACCTTCCCTGAGAATATGCACGTCAATTCTAACCACTCTTAAAGGCAGCGGCAGTAAGGACAATGACAAGAGGCGCTACTGAGGACATAGGGCATGCCTGGCCTTGCTGTAAGCAAGGATGTGATTTCAATGGAAGCGGCAGCGGCTGAAGTTATTTATAACAAGATGGTCAGAAGTGGACTTTCAAACTTGAAGAACTGTGACTGCTACTAGAAAAATACAGCATCAAGTGCCTCTGTCGAAAGCAATCGTTAACACTTTGTGGACTTAAATGTCAAAAATAGGAGAGCTCCTCGGATTAATTTACAAGGTGAAGGGCTTTCAGAAACACAGGGCCGCAGAGCATCCAAGAACTCCTTCTGTTTCTACTGCTGTTTTCCCCGCCGGCCGGGCTGCCAGGCCTCTGCTGAGCTCTGGCTGCTGTCCTATCTTCCTAACACACTGACTTTTTCAGAAATAATATTATCTGGGAAATGAATTTCCCATGAAGCTGAGAGGAATTACAGAAATTGGCAGCAGGGACAAAATATAATTTCCATGTCTTTTTTTTTTTTGGTTTGTTTGGAGACAGGATCTCACTCTATAGCCTTGGCTGGCCTGAGATGCCGTGTAGATCCAGGTGGCCTATAACTCACAGATACCCACCTGCCTCTGCCTTCAGAGTGCTGGGATTGAAGGTGTGTGTGTCACCATACCTGGCTCCATGGCATTACATCACCAATAAGCCCCCTCCCTCTTCATCCCAGTTCTGAAGAGGCAGAATTCACGCAGTACAGCTATTTTACTGTCCACCCAATCACTCCACGTGACTCCTCATTTATGCAATTATTATTCGTGGTCAGTGTGGAGCAAAGCAGCCGCACTGCAGGAAAGAGGTGCTGTATTGGTTGTGACTCTGAAATCAAAGGGTTGTGAGCAAGAGCCCAGAAGAGCCGCGCTCTGAGAGCCGCGTTCTGCTCTACTGTCTTCAAGGAGGGAGTGGCCCATCCACTGCTTCCTTCTTAACTCCTCCCTTAAACATGGCCATCACTCCCCGCCTCCAAACACCTTCCGGTTACATGCTTCCTGCATCCCATGCATTTTAAAGCATGACACTTGTCATCATTTTCAGTGGCCATAGGTCTATTGGTCTGCACCTATCTGGGGGCAGAGGTGACCCAGCTCCCACAGAACCCAGCATGAGCCTGTGCCTGACTCATGGTAGGTAGAGAAGGGCTGTGCAATACACAAATGAACGCATTACCCGCAAGGGAAATGCTTTCATAATAAGCAGGGATGTAGCTGGTGGCCACACGGCAGCAGAAGGATGAGGGGTCAGGCACCGCAACCCCTGTACACATGATGGATATGCAAATGTAGAGAACACGGACTTAAAGGAAATGCTGCCCCAACCCAAGCCCTGAGTGCACTGCGGCTGCTCCACAGGGAAATCTGCAGTACCTTGCTTCAGCTCTGCTAAGCAGGGCCTCCCATCTGCTGTCCAAGAGGCTCAGCTGCCTTGACAGCTTCACTTTGTCTGCGGGCTCTGCAGAAGCAGCGATTTTCTCTCCTTCTCGTTTGATCACCTCCACAGTGGACTTCCGGTCTTCCAGCAGTCTCTGCAGAAGCTTCAGACAGAATGTTCAACATCTTAAGAGGCAGATATCAAGTATTTATATCTTATGTATGATATAGATAGATAGACAGACAGACAGACAGACAGACAGATAGAATGGACATATATGAAAAAATATGAGAAGTAGGATTTTAAAAATAATCCATTTGGGGCCAGTGAGATGGTTCAGCAGGTCACGGTGGCGTGCCACCAAGCCTGATGACCTGAGTTTGATCCCCGGGACCCACGTGGTGGAAGAGGAGCACCAACTCCTACAAGTTGTCCTCTGACCTCCACATGCAGGCTGTGGCACATGTAGGCCAAATAAATAAATAAATAAATGTCATAAAAACACTTCTGAAAAGGAAGAGAAAAGCATTTGTTGGAATGGCTGCTGCAATGCCAGGCACTGAGGTGTGGCTTTCACCAGAGACAGCTCTCAGTGCTAGGGTCCCTGTGATCTTCACAGAGGATAAGCAGACTGAACCACGGGAAAAGTATAACGTCCTTCTTACTTTAATAAAACAGGAATACTCTAAGCACCCCAAAGTTTTCAACTCTACCAAAATACAAGATTTCCATAAATCATGAGTGTTTTCAAATCGCCTCCCAACATGAAACAATGCACTACAGGCAAGCAGGCTACAATCAGAAAAGCCGGCAAGTCGGAAGGCTGTATGGGAGGCTCGTGGCCCTCCAAGGGGCAGAAGCAGCATTTCAAACCCCACATGAGGATAAAAACTTAAGCAGGGCTCTCAAACACCCAAAAAGAAGGGAGTGTGGGGTGCACTGGGAACTCGAGAGCTGCCAAAAGGATTAAGGTTTCAAGACTTAGCAGTTAAAAGGAAATTCAATTTAAATCTAATTGAAGGCCAGACTCAGGGTCACCCTGCCCTAGCTAATCAAAACAAATCATTCCTGAACAACTGTGTGTATAAGCAGTGGGCTCAGGCAATGAGGCGCAGGAGCTCAACCAGACAGGCCTCTGCTTCCTTACTCTGATCCCGAGAGACAGCTAAGGGGCAGAAATTTAACAGTTACCCTGAAGTAACACGCTAGAAGACTACTGTGAGACCGAGACCACCAAGAAGGGCATTAAGGGGAAAGCCCACTTCCAAAGGGAAAGGATCACAGATGTTCTTGACACAGTTCAGGCCATGGGGTAAACAATAATGAAACACATGGTTTAGGTAGCAAGGAGAACTATTTGGATACTTAAAAAAAATTACATTTATTGTGTGTGTGTGCGTGTGTTGTGATGACAACTTGTGAGAGTAAGTTCTCTGGTGCCTCCATGAGGACTTCAGACTGTCAGACTTGGTGGCAAGCCCTTTCCCTGGGTGCTGAGCCAACTTGCCAGCCCAAGTGGGTTACTTTTGGTGAACTGAAATAACAAAACCTTTGGTAATTAAAAAGACAAAGTCAACAAGTGGATTTTACTAACCAAGCATTATTAATCAGCCCTAGGAGAATAACTTAAATTAAGTAAGGGTAGCAGTATATCATTAAAAACCACACATATACAATGGGTTTCCAATATGTTTTATTACTTGCTCTCCTGTTTCGTTGGCTGGTACCAGAGCCTGAACTAGCACCTCATGTATCCCGGGCCACTGCACTATGATTACATCATATCCCCAAGCTGCTTGTTCATATTTAGTCTCTAGACAGGTTCTCACTGAGCTGCTCACCGATCTGCGGGCCGAAAACCTGTGACCCTCCTACCTCTACCTGCCACGTGGCTGGGACTATAGGCCTAGGTCATAAGGCCTGGCTTTATTTCTCATATAACTCCCTAATTGGCTAAGTTTTCAGAGGATTTTTAGAGAGCTGATATGGAATGCAGAACAAAGGGAAGCAGCCAATCTAAAAGTTTTTTAAAAAGTTTAATCTAGCTAATAGTGTATGTATTTATGGGTTATAAAGCAATGTTTTAACACGTGTGTACACTGTAGAATGATTTAATAATAAAACTAATTAACAAAGCTTATTTATATTTATTTAAATTTAAAAATCTATATTTATATTTAAAAATCTTAATTTTGAAATATACAATAGCCCAGTGGTAAGGCACTTTCCTAGCATGGCTTAAGTCCTAGATTCAATTCCAAGCAACACACATATACACACACACACACACACACACACACACAAAGAGAGAGAGAGAGAGAAAATGCATTATATTATTATTATGCTGCTAACTAAATTAAACAAGGGCTAGAAAGATAAATTAGAACTTGATTATAGGGGTTGGGGAGATGGCTCAGGAAGCACACAAACTTGCTCTGCAAGCTTGAAGACCAGAGTTTGAATCCCCAAGACCCACATAAAAAGCCAGACAGGACTGCATACGCCTGCAATCTTAACATTCCCCAGTGAGTAGGTGCAGACAGACAGATTCAAAGAACCCCATGCCAGCCAGGCTGAGCCCCTGTCTAGAGGAAACCAGGTGAGGAGAGGGGAACACCTGATGTCCTGCTCCGCACCTCCATTCAAGCATACTTCACACATACTCACACACAGTTTGGATTATACTTTTTACATGCAACGAAAGGATAAATTCAATTTCAAATAATTAATCTAATCCCCATTTAAAAAATCATTCATGAGAAACCTTACTAATATACCATGTGCCATGTCTTTTTCTGTGTGTCATTTCAAATCACAGCTGCTAAATCACTGGAAATGTCATTAAACGCTTCACATCTAGTTGCTACATGATGGTGAGCCCATCTGTGTGTGCTGTCTCGAGCGGCTCTCTGTCCGTCAGCATCAGAGCACATTCCCAGCAGGTGCGAACCGAGGATTCGCACCGTCAGCACTCGAGAACCCGCCAGTATTTAATCTACAGAAGGACAACTCGTATGGGTAAATCTTATGTGTTAGAGAGTGACGATTTCTTCTGTCCCAGTGCCACCTGGTCAGTGAAGGGTTTCTTGGCTGTTCCATTTAAAGCTACTCCCAACACCCCTCTACTGCAGCACTTGCCCTGACCCCTGCCTCTGTCACTTCCAGAGTCTCCCCCCTCCAATCCTTGCTCTGAAATACTCTAGGTTACATACTGACTTTGTTTACTGGCTTTCCTAGTCTGTCTTTCCCATTAGTCTTTATGTTCAACAGGGACTCTTGGTTGTTTCCATGCAGGGCTGTATTTCTCACAGCCAGAACAATGCCTTGACCAGAGAAGGTGGCAGTAGGTAGGTGCTGGTTGAGCAAGTGGCAAGAAACCGTTACTATGACATCGGGTTAGGAAAAGTGAGAAGGTACACTTTGATTGCCCTTTTAAACATTAAATATGAAAGCAAACGATAATATCATGAAGTTACCTTTTGCTCTTGTATCTGGGCTTTCACCACTTTGAATTCAGCCGATGGAGGCTTCTGATTGGCCACAAGGTCCTCGGTGTCTGCCATCCAGCTGAGCAGGGACTCCAGGGCGTCCTGGAACCTCCCACAGTGGAGCAGGGCCTCCTGCAGCTGGGCTGCGCGCTGAGCCACCTGCAAAGTCCCAGTTGTTTCAACTTATTTACTTGCTTCATTAAAAAAAAAAAAAAAAGATGGAAGGAATCTGCCCAGTAGACACTACTTCTCACAACTGTTTCTTAACTCGGTCATGTACTTTCCCTCCCTCTCTGCACGTGTATATGCGTGTTGAAGGCCAGAGACCAACTTTGTGTCTTCTCTTACTTTCCACCCTAATTTCTGAGACAGTGTCTCGGCAAACCAACTGCTTGCCATTTAGGCCAGATAGGTCAGGATTCCACCTGTCTCCACTGTCTCTATCCTTCAGGGCTGGGGTCAAAGGTCAATGTCACCTGCTTTTAGGTGGGTGCTGAGGTTCCTAACTCAGGCAGGTACTTTACCTACTGTCTCCCAGACCTTTCCTTTGTTGTGTGCATGTGTGTGCCTATGTGTGCACACGCGCTCTGTGGTGCATCCCCCTCTGTTCATAACAAGATGCCATTCTTGGACTATGCCACTGTAGCCATGGCAAGCAGAGCAAAACAACAGTGGCAGTCAGGTCTGTGAGAACGGTAATGGAGCCGCTGACACTCCCTAGGGAGGTCTGGAGTGTCTACTCTGGGATCCCTATTACTCCATCCATCCCTCTGTGGCAAGTGATCTTGGGTGCCGCTAAACTGTACAGAATTGAAAGGTTAATGCCATCCATGATGGGGTGGGTCTTTGTGGTGACTTAGCTATTGGGGGGGGGGTCACACATGCTCTAGTAAGTAACTTCTCACTTGTACCCTGTTTAAAAAAACTCAATAAACTCATTGGTCTCAAAAAGTTGAACTTCAGCGAAATCCCACTTCGGTCTGTTGTTAGTGCCCATCTGAGTGAATGGATGTCCATGTGGATCTCCCCAAGAGAAGTTAACACAGCAAGGAGCCTGTATCCCTTACATCTGTGAGTCACCAGGGCAAAGTAGCTACCACGGCATGAGAGGTTTGCATGCTCTTTTAACACAGGGCCATCCACCATGACTGTCTACAGTCATACCGGGTGGGTCTGCAGCCACGTCTCTGCCAAAGTAGAGAAAATGGCAGGGCAAGTCCTGTCTCAACCCACGAACTTCGTTCATCTGTGTCCCCTATCTACTGTTATGGGCCATTTTGTGCACAGCAATATGAAAAGGGCAAGCGTGCTTGGGCACGAGCAGCTACCAGGACCAATGACTACTAGTCGTGGAAGAGGACAGTGAACAACCACTAAGGCGCTCAAGGGACCATGCGATTACCTTCTTATTGAGCGTTTTCCACCGTGCATTGACATCATCCAGGTCATGCTCCAAACCTTGGGTGCAGGTGTTTGCAGCTGCGCTCTGGATGAGGCCTTGCCCTAACCAGTTCACATCTTGCTGCTTCGCCTGCAAGGCTTCAATTTCTTCTTTCTGGAACACCTGCAGGTTGGGAGACCCATATTGTAAGAACTGTATTATCGAACAACCGCCAAATGTGTAAAGACTATGTGTAGAAGCCAGCTACTGTCACAGAAGTGAAGCGAGCCACTGTTACTGAGATATCATTTACTATTACTTTGTGAGTACGAAATATAAATCTGAGGCACTTACCAATATACCTTATATACATTTAATAAGATCACTTACAAAACCAAGGTAAGTATAGTGGAATTTTCTATCATCACAATTTAACTCTTTGTCCCCCCCCCCCCCCCCGCCACACACACAAAAATGCTTAGGAGCAAAGGATGAGATGCCCCTTTCGAGTCCAGGAATTCTCATTGGGGACTCATAAGGCTTGGTGCAATATAGCTGGCTGACAACTGAAGCTTGGGACTCAACTTACAAGTGGAAACTCGCTGGCAAGACAACAAAGTAGGTCAAGAGGCCAAGTGCATGCGTACCCAAAGGGCCAAAAGACAAGGGCAGCAAGTGGAAAAGGACACAGGGCACATGAGGAGTCCCACAACCACAACAGTGGAAGGTGCAGCCCCAGAGGAACGCCCAAGGGGACACGGTAAGAACCATATGCACAGGGTGTTTCATAGCAGCCAATGGCAGAGAGGAGGGTCGACCTAGAACAGTAACTGGCCCTAAGAGAAAGAGCCTCTGGCCTTGAATATCAAGTGTGCAGAGGAAAATCACACCCCATGGCTACTATAAAATAGTCCTCTCCTGAACATTACAAACACCTCCATCAAAAGAAGGGGTCCTGGAATTTTAATCATAAAACACAAAAGAAAAACTCAATTCACCAACTAACTTCAGGGCACAAGTTCTGGTGTAGAAACAAGAACCATGTGGAGAAACCAGGACAACATGTCTCTCCCCAAGACCGCCCATCCATATGGAATGGTTTCCAAGGGAAACAACCTGGAAGAAGTCACAGTCAGAGAATTTAAAAGAACAGTTAAACTATGTTCGGACAACTCAAAGAGGATATGAATATACCCCAAAAGTACAAAAATAAAGATCTGAACAACAAAAAAGTTTTCAAAACACAAAAAATAGAATCTAATAGAGACACAGGATTGCTGCAGAAAATTCAAATTGAAATGACGCTAGGAAAATAACCAACCAAACAAACCTAAAATCAATGGGTCAAATTAAAAAATCCTAGGGGAAAGCCTTATCCATGAGATGGAACACATGGAAGATAGAGCAGGAGTTCCTGAGGACAAGGTGGAGGGATTAATCATTCACTAAAAGTCAATGACTGAACATGAGAAAGCCTGGGACAGCACGGAAAGACCAAACCTTCTAATGATAGTATAGACCGAGGAGAGAGCCCTACAGCAAAGACTGTCAAGGCAGGCGTGACCCCAGGGATGGACCCCTGCACACATGGCCCCTCACCCCTGGATCCGGACCCACACATCAGCTGTGGTTTCTCTTGGCTCACCACTACCCATGAACCTGCTGTCAACACTTTCCTAGGACCCTCTCCCCTACTGTCCGCCCTATGCAACACGTGGTCCCCCAGCTGCTTTTGGCTTATAAAGAATGTACTACATGAGATTAACATACAAATTCACAGAAACAGAACTTACTAACAGTTCTATACCCTGGGCCTGCTAGGTTAATAGCAGTAGTACTATTATGCCTAGTAGTAATATGTACTCAATAGTTATTTGTTGAATTGGTATCAACACAGAAAAGATACAGCTATCTTGGGTGGATGCTATCACCCTCCTTCCAGTTAACAATGAAGGTAGCACACTAATTTTTCCCCCACAGGCTAATATAAATATTTATAATGTTCGGCTTGGAGAACGTTATGAGAAAAAAAAATCAATTATTTTTAACTCGCTGATGAAATTTTTACATAGATAATAAGGCAGACTAAGATTTGGGATTCTGAGTCATTATACTGAAGGAAACCATAATAATAATTAATGGCTGGATAAATTGAACATATGGAAACGTAGTAAAGGCAGATATGTTAAAAGAGCACTTCAGGAGAAAATTATAGGTAAAGTGTGAAAAATAACTGCGAAGGATGTAGAGGCCCAGGAGACCACTCCCCAGGCCGTGGCCCAGTGCTAAGCATTCAGGGTTCCTCTATGGTAACTGTAAGAACAAATACACTGGGAATAGCAAACAAACGAGCCATTGTTTCCTCTGTACGTCCCTGGTAACAAAAAGTTCAAGCTGCTTCTCCCACTGAAAATGCATACAGACTTTTCCATGCTGGCTAAGGATGTCTATGTCAAGTAGCAACTCTAAGAAATTAGCTGCATGTAACGGAGACAGCACAAGAGCCCCGGTCACCGCAGAGACAACCTCAGACATTCTTCTGTGTTTCAGGAAGGTGTAACTTGCTAAGTATGTCAGCAGTAAACTGCAAGAGGGTAGTGACGAAAGACTTTATTTTCGGCACTGTGTGTGACTCTGTTTCTTTTCTATGGAACAATCTAAATTGCCACTTCTAGGAGCTAAGTAAGGGGATGGTTCAACGGTTTACAAAAAAATATGGGCAGGGTCAAGAAAACTACTGCACTCTTGTAAGTTACATAATGTTTCAGAGAAAAACTTCTCTCTTAGTTCTCAGCGCAAAAGCCTTACTAATACTAAGTTCTAGTAAACTGTCTGCAACCCTGATCTAGGTTAAATGAAGGGTTTGTATCAGAGCAGATCTACACTGTTTGTGGTCATTTTCCAAAATTCTTAAAAAATGACTGCACCAATAGCTATATTATAAAAAAATTTTACACATCAGTTATAAAATCTTATAGGGAAAAGGTATTTTGCTAAACCTTTAAATTAGCAGAGCATCTGCGGCAGGCTCAAGGAAAGGTGTGGACGGTGGAGCCCAGACAAGCAGTTTAGATTCCTTATCTCTGAGTGGTAACAAATCCCTATAAAGACCTGGCCCCCACCCCGTACACTCATAGCACACAAACACAGAGAGCCTTAAAATAAAATGAAGCTGACTCCGAGGCAAAGGCTACCAGAGGCACTCGGGGGAAGCACCAAAATAGGCAACTTGAATCTGAGTGGGAAGAAAAAAAATGACAGGCTTGACAGATAACCTCCACTTATCACAGGCTGCACCCTTTACTTTCTTTGCTGGTCTGCAGCTGCAAAGGAGTTAGGGTCAACAATGCCTGCAAGAACACAATAGCTTCTCTCCTCTCCCGCATAGGGTGCTGGTAAGCTGGCCGGGTGGCATGCTTTGCAGACCATAACAATATAATACTGCGTTGGTACCTTTATGACTAAGCCTGTTTGATGCTTAATAGACTCAAAACAACTGCCCTTAAATGGCACTGTTTCAGGCCATGATTTGTGCAAAAACCTAGCATTAACCTAAATTAACAGTGGGGGAATTCTGAATGAGCTGCAACAGCCACTGTCTGCATCGCCACAGGCCCCCGAACATCTGGGAATAATCATTCCCCAACAATCCCTAATTAATTTGTTACACCAACGGATTTATCAATTGCTGGCATCTGGCAGGGCGCTAATCAAAGTCCTCAAATGAATGACTGCGTTTGGTCATTATTAAAATCATTCTTGACCACGCTGAGACAGAACCACAGGCAGCTGCCACTGCGGTTTTCCAATCCCATTAATTACCTGGAAGCCATTGCAGACTGTGTCCAATGTTCCTGCCTGGACCCCCGTTTTCCTGGGCCCTGTTTTCTTTTTTACTGGTATGAACTGGAGGGAGCATTTCTTCTGGGTCACCTCGATCTCCTGGGCAGAAAAGGGGGCCCCTATGTTACCCTTAGATGCCCTGTTGCATTCTGCTGACTCATATTGTGTCAACAGTATCACATTTTCTAGCAAACCTGTGCTAGCAAAGTCTACATGTGGCTCTCCCAGGTCTGTGGGAGAGAGTTCTAAACCGCCAAGGGGTTCCTTCATACGTTCCCTACTATGCGTCGTGATCTGGGACTCCCCTTGTCTGAAAGTCGTCTCCTTTTCTTCAGAGTTGGAAACACACTTGTTTCCTCCATCTCTTGGTACAAGCAACGTGTGGCACTTTGTGCTCTCTCTCAACTGGCTCTGCACACACCCGTGTTCACCACGGAGTACTCCCTGACCACTCACACATGTGTTCCCCTCGAGTGGCGAGACGCCCTGCCGAATCACCTGGAAGCTGTCACCAGGGTGGGCACTCCTGCACGAAAGCAGCGGGATTTTCTGCTCACTGACGGAATCAGCAGAGTACAGTGGCCTGTAAGGCTCTGATATGTGAATATCTTCAGCAGAAGACAGGCTTCTTGTCTGTGGCTGGTCCCCACTTCCAGGGCCCTGCTTCTCTTCTTTCTCTGCCGGGGGACTGTATAAGCCAGAGTCATCCTCTTCTGAGGTCTGAGAGTTAGTACCCCATTTGCACTTGCTGGCCTTGGTAACAGCATCTGACACTTCAGTAGGCTCAACAAAAGAACTTTCACTTTTGTTTGCATAATCCATAAAATTGGCTGGAACAAACATCCGCCATGACCGCCTGTGCTCTCTCTTTTCTGCCTGAGACTTGGGTTTGGGTAGACCTGTACTTCGAATGACATCACTATTTAGTTTGAGGGCATCGAAGATCATCTTTTCATCTAGTCTGTTAGTTTCCCGACCCCGCAGCTCAAATATACTGGAAGAGGAAAGGGCACCATTGGAGCACAGAGAACTACTGTCCAGTGTCCTGTGACTGTAGGGTAAAGTCCGCTCTGTAAAATGCCTAGAAGACAGGCTACCTTTGGAACCTGAGTCTATCTGTTCGTTTAGTCTAACTGTGTCATAGATCGACCGCTGTGGGACATAGCAGTCTTCAATATTCAAATCCTCCTCTTCTTCACCCTTCCCTACACATGGAGGATTCTGGCGTAAACAGTCTGGTCTGCTGAGTGGCTTCCCCATTTTGTAGACAGTTAAAACAAATATTGCAGCTTTTGACACCAAATAGAAGAAATACAGTAAAACATTTCCCAAGAAGGTCG